TTATATTTGTGTTCAGTATATAATTCACCATTACATTTGTTGGTAGTCTAACAAATGTTGCCATCAGGTTGTAAATGAGTACAACTCCAAGAACACCATCCCAACCGTGAAGCATGGAGGTGGAAACATCATTCTTTGGAGATGCTTTTCTGCAAAGGGGACAGGGGAGGATGGATGGGGCCATGTATCGCAAGATCTTGGCCAACAACCTCCTTCCCTTAGTAAGAGCATTGAAGATGGGTCGTGGCTGGGTCTTCCAGCATGACAACGACCTGAAACACACAGCCAGGGCAACTAAGGAGTGGCTCCGTAAGAAGCATCTCAAGGTCCTGGAGTGGCCTAGCCAGTCTCCAGACCTGAACCCAATAGAAAATCTTTGGAGGGAGCTGAAAGTCCGTATTGCCCAGCGACAGCCCCGAAACCTGAAGGATCTGGAGAAGGTCTGTATGGAGGAGTGGGCCAAAATCCCTGCTGCAGTGTGTGCAAACCTGGTCAAGACCTACAGGAAACGTATGATCTCTGTAATTGCAAACAAAGGTTTCTGTACCAAATATTAAGTTCTGCTTTTCTGATGTATCAAATACTTATGTCATGCAATAAAATGCAAATTAATTACTTAAAAATCATACAATGTGATTTTCTGGATTTTTGTTTTAGATTCTGTCTCTCACAGTTGAAGTGTACCTATGATAAACAATTACAGACCTCTACATGCTTTGTAAGTAGGAAAACCTGCAAAATCAGCAGTGTATCAAATACTTGTTCTCCCCACTGTATATTTAATCCATTTTGAATTCAGGCTGTAACACAAGAAAATGTGGAATAAGTCAAGGGGTATGAATGTTTCCTGAAGGCACTAGCTGCTGGGAGGATGTTACGTCATTGGACGAGTGGCCGACATTTTCCCCCCATATCGTTTTTCTGTGGCTATATCTTATCTAATTTGGTTAGCTAGCAAGAACTGTGAATCACTTCGCTAGCTCGCTATGCTGAACTTGAACGAGTCACGACTGTTATCCACAGTTAGCATATCTCTTAGTTGTCAATCAAATGTATTTGGCAGCGATCAAATGGGCGGGCAGGCAGGCAGGCAAGTTCCCATTCAGTTGTCAAAACATGGGTTGGGACAAGCATGCATTGGCAAGCAAGCTGCAGAAGGGCGAGCAGGCTACTATTCCCCATTGTTTATCAGGCCAACTACAAGCTGAAAAAGTTTGAGAGGGTTCGTTAGATTTGAGCTTATCGCTCTGGCTAGCATTAGTTGTTGATCTTGTTGATGTGCATAGGCAACTGAGGGAGAGCGAGCCTACCTTTTTCATGGTTGTTTGATCAATAGGACTGTAAAGTTCCCAAATGTAAGAGGACTTCTGTGATATTTACATATTTGCAGAAATCCATTCAGGTGTATTTTGTGGCTTTTGGCGAATGCTCTAAAGTCACGCTGTTGCTACTGCCTGTAAACACACAGTCCAGTTCAAAGTAGTGATGTGCAGTTTGTGAACGATTCGTTCTTTTTGAACAACCCTTTTTACTGACTCGAGAGTCATGATTAGTCGTTCGTTTGACCTGCTAGTGCTGGCCACAATGAGTCCTACAGCAGGATTAATACACGCTCAGCGGCTCCAAAGACGTGATCCGACCACCAACTGTCTGTCGTGCGCGCAGGAAAATAGATAATGAGCATGGGGAAGAAAAACACATGTTTAGAACTGATAATTGATCACATGGTGCAATTAATTGATTATTTAATGTTATGATGGACACAGCTTTGTAGCCTCTGCTCAACAAACTCAAGAACGAATTGTTTGGTGGGCTGCAGTTCTTAAACGACAGTGCTTATCACCTTGCATGGCTACCCAGACTCCTTAATAGCGTGTGATTGCGTTCCGCAATTCAGGTCGTTACTGCAAGTGGGCATTCCTGTATCTTCCCCTCTCAAGCATCCCATTGGTTCCTGCATGAATGCCGCCCCTTTAGCATGCCATCTTCATGCTTGTGATTTCCCCTGATTGTCTATGCAAATTTAAAATGTGTGTCAAAAGGGAAATAAAAAGTATTTTCTGAGTTTTTCGGGGCTGAAAGGACACTGTCTACCGATGTCCTAGCTAGCTATCGTTGGCGCCCCCGCCTGCTGTGTACCGGAGTCTTCCTAGCTAGCTAGCTAACAAGTTAGCACACAGTGTCCTTCTCTCCCGCCTGCCGAACACCTGCCCTCGCCTTCGTTAACAGAACTGCGGGACGAAGGACACGGTCTACCAGTGTCCTAGCTATTATTAGCTAGCTAGCTAGCTAGCTACCTATCCCGCCTGCTGTGTACCAGAGTTCTGGCTAACTAGCTAGCTAGCACCCAGTGTCCTTCGCTAATGCCTGTCCTCACAGCCATTAACAGAACTGCGGGGTAACAGTGCCCGACAGGCGGGGGTGAAGGTCCCCATCTACCGTTGTCCTAGCCAGCTAGCTACTGTTGTCGCACCCTGCCTCTTTTTCTATGGGGTTTATCGGTGGTTGGCATCCAACGTTATGGTGCATTACCGCCACCTACTGTACTGGAGCGTCCCTGCCTCCTGCCTGTGTACCGGAGTCCTAGCTTAGAAATGGACCAATAGAAGTATAAAGAGGGGTTTCTGCAGATGCAGGAACGCCCCGACTCCTTGCTCAGGCCAAACGCTACGCCACGCCCACGGAGGTCCGTTTCTTCTCCACAATGAGAAGTATGTAGCGAACAACAGAGCAGCGAAATAATTGAGTGTGAGTCGTTAGGCTACTTATCACCCTCACGGCAGTCTTGCGATGCATTCCGCCAAGAGTCATTCACAATCTAGTCCGGTTGCGGCCACAACTAGACCTCGTTTCAAATGTATCAAGAAATAATCATATTTGTATGCCTAGCAATCAAATGTTCACTATATATACAAAAGTATGTGGACACCCATTCGAATGAGTGGATCCGGCTATATCAGCCACCCATTTCTTGCAGCACACAGCCATGCCCCGTGTAGCTCAGTTGGTAGAGCATGGCGCTTGCAACGCCAGGGTTGTGGGTTCGATTCCCACGGGGGGGCCAGTATGAAAACAAAAAAATGTATGCACTCACTAATTGTAAGTCGCTCTGGATAAGAGCGTCTGCTAAATGACGTAAATGTAAAATGTAATGCAATCTGCATAGACAAACATTGGCAGTAGAATGGCCTTACTGAAGAGCTCAGTGATTTTCAACGTGGCACCGTCATAGGATGCCACCTTTCCAACAAGTCAGTTTGTTAAATTTCTGCCCTGCTAGAGCTTCCCCGGGGAACTGGTCAGTGCTGTTATTGTGAAGTGGGAACGTCTAAGAGCAGCAACGGCTCAGCCGCGAAGTGGTCGGCCACACAAGCTCACAGAACGGGACTGCCAAGTGCTGAAGCGTGTAGCACGTAAAAATGGTCTGTCCTCGGTTGCAACACACACTACCGAGTTCCAAACTGCCTCTGGAATCAACGTCGGCACAATAACTTTTCTTCAGGAGCTTCATGAAATGGGTTTCTATGGCCGAGCAGCCGCACATAAGCCTAAATTCACTATGCGCGATGCCAAGCGACGGCTGGAGTGGTGTAAAGCTCGCCGCAATTGGACTCTGGAGCAGTGGAAACGCGTTCTCTGGAGTGATGAATCACGCTTCATCATCTGGCAGTCCTACGGACTAATCTGGTTTTGGCGGATGCCAGGAGAACGCTACCTGCCCCAATGCGTAGTGCCAACTGTAAAGTTTGGTGGAGGAGGAATAATGGCCTGGGACTGTTTTTCATGGTTTGCGCTAAGCCCCTTAGTTCCAGTGAAGGGAAATCTTAACGCTACAGCATATGACATTCTAGACGATTCTGTGCTTTCAACTTTGTGGCAACCGTTTGGGGAACGCCCTCTCCTGTTTCAGCATGACAATGCCCCCGTGCACAAAGTGAGGTCCATACAGAAATGGTTTGTCGAGATCGGTGTGGAAGAACTTGACTGGCCTATACAGAGCCCTGACCTCAACCCCATCAAACACCTTTGGGATTAATTAGAACGCCGACTGCAATCCAGGCCTAATCGCCAAACATCAGTGCCCGACCTCACTAATGCTCTTGTCCCCGCAGCAATGTTCCAACATCTAGTGGAAAGCCTTCCCAGAAGAGTGGAGGCTGTTATAGCAGCAAAGGGGAGACCAACTCCATATTAATGCGCATGATTTTGGAATGAGATGTTAGACAAGCTTTTGGTCATGTAGTGTACATTGTTTTAAATCACACGTTTACAAGTCCTCAGTCACAAATGATAGCTCCAATAAGCCCCCTATGGTGAACGACGTGAACCAGAGGCTCGTAGAATTAAGACTCTTACGTTTTCAGTTCATCGTTCGCCGGTAGGGGGTCCTGCGTGCTCTGGGAATTACTGACTCAAAATAAATAAATAAATAAGTCGATTTCGTTCTTTTGACAGAACAAGTCAAAGATTTGAGTCAGTAAAAAGAGCCGCACTTACCATCACTAGTTCAAAGTGAAAGACGACAGGCCCGTGTGGCTAATGGCTTATTTGCATATAGGCCTACTGTAGCGCTGATTGGCTATGGCGTACCGGTCTGTGTAGAGACCGGTCCTGGACAAGACGGATGTTTTTATTAGGTTTTATTTACTGCAGTGTCTATTAATTGTCCAAACGCACGGCCGCTTTCCCACTGTAGAATCTTCACAAATGCCTTACTCTACGTCATTCCCAAACATTCTATGAATGCATGAAAATGACTAAGTGCTCGCTTGTAAAAAATAAAAATAAAGGCGTCATTCTTCATAGAGATGTATATGAACAGATTTGTATAAGATTTCATGTTGCTAAAACACTGTCACTTCCACTTTAAGGTAAGGGTTAGGTAAGGTTTGTGGTTAGGGTAGGGGTTTAGGGTAGGGACGTCCCAAGGGTCCCGGATAGCACTAACCATGATGAAAGTCTCATAGCTAATGGGAGTACTTCTTTCTGTCTGTCTGCAGATAAATGACCTAAACCAGGTGCCTGTTCCTGTCATGCTGCTGCCTGATGACTTCAAAGCCAACACTAAGATCAAAGTCAACAACCACCTCTTCAACAAGTAATGCGTTTGCTCACTCTTGTCAATACTTACTCTAAATATACATAAGACAATTAGCCTATCTACCAGTAGGTCTATGTCACTACTCTGTTTAAAATGAGTTACATATTCTCGTCTCTCACCTATGCCAAAAGGAATGAGTTATGAGAAATTCATTTTCTCTGTGTTAAACCGAGACTTGAACAGAAGTATGGAGAGAGGGCGAGTAAACACTGCAAATGTGTGACTTCCTCCCCCTTTTTTTCGCAGAGAGAATCTACCAGGACATTTCAAGTTTAAAGAATACTGTCCTCAGGTGTTCCGGAATCTTAGGGAGCGCTTCGGAATTGAGGATCTCGACTACCAGGTATGAGTGTTGATATACACTGAGTATACAAAACATTAAGAACACCTGCTCTTTCCATGAGAGATTGACCAGGTGAATCCAGGTGAAAGCTTTGATCCCTTATTGATGTCACTTGTTAAATCCACTTCAATCAGTGTAGATGAAGGGGAGGAGACAGGTTAAAGAAGGATTTTAAAACCTCGAGACAACTGAGACATGGATTGTGTGTGTGCCATTCAGGGGGTGATTGGGCAAGACAAAATATTTGTGCCTTTGAACTGGGTATGGTAGTAGGTGCCAGGCGCACAGGGTTGTGTCAAGAACTGCAATACTGCTGGGTTTTTCACGCTCAATAGTTTCCCGTGTGTATGAAGAATGGTCCACCACCCAAAGGACATCCAGACAACTTTACACAACTGTGGGAAGCATTGGATTCAACATGGGCCAGCATCCCTGTGGAACGCTTTCGACACCTTGTAGAGTCCATGCCCCGACGAATTGAGGCTGTTCTGAGCGCAAAGGGGGGGATGCAACTCAAGAAGGAAGGTGTTTCTAATGTTTGGTATACTCATTGTATATATAGGGTACCAGTCAAAAGTTTGGACACCCAACTCATTCAAGTTTTTATTTATTTTATTTTTAAAACTATTTTCTACATTGTAGAATAATAGTGAAAACATCAACTATGAAATAACACATATGGAGTCATGTAGTAACCAAAAAAGTGTTAAACAATTCGAAATATATTTTATATTTGAGATTCTTCAAAGTAGCCACGCTTTGCCTTGAATTCTAAATAAACCACAGACAGTTTCACCAGCGAAGCATCATCACACCTCCTCCTCAATGCTTCACAGTGGGAACATACACATGCAGAGATCATCCATTCACCTACTCTGCGTCTCACAAAGACATGGCGGTTGGAACCAAAAATCTCACATTTGGACTCATCAGACCAAAGGACAGATTTCCACCAGTCTAATGTCCATTGCTCGTGTTTCTTGGCCCAAGCAAGTCTCTTCTTCTTATTGGTGTCCTTTAGTAGTGGTTTCCTTGCAGCAATTCGACCATGAAGGCCTGATTTACACAGTCTCCTCTGAACAGTTGATGTTGATGTGTCAGTTACTTGAACTCTGAAGCATTTATTTGGGCTGCAATTTCTGAGGCTGGTAACTCTAATGAACTTATCCTCTTCAGCAGAGGTAACTCTGGGTCTTCCTTTCATGTGGCGGTCCTCATGAGAGCCAGTTTCATCATAGCGCATGATGGTTTTTGCGACTGCACTTGAAACTTTCAAAGTTCTTGAAATGTTCCGGATTGACTGACCTTCATGTCTTAAAGTAATGATGGACTGTCTTTTCTCTTTGCTTATTTGAGCTGTTCTTGCCATAATATGGACTTGGTCTACCAAATAGGGTTATCTTCTGTATACCACCTCTACCTTGTCACAACACAACTGATAGGCTCAAACGCATTAAGAAGGAAATAAATTCCACAAATTAACTTTTAACAAGGCACACCTGTTAATTGAAATGCATTCCAGGTGACTACCTCATGAAGCTGGTTGAGAGAATTCCAAGAGTGTGCCAAGCTGTCATCAAGGCAAAGGGTGGCTACTATTTTGATTTGTTTAACACCTTTTTTGGTTACTTATTGATTCCATTTGTGTTATTTCAAAGTGTTGATGTCTTCACTATTATTCTACAATGTAGAAAATAGTAAAATAAAGAAAAACCCTGGAATGAGTAGGTGTGTCCAAACTTTTGACTGGTACTGTATATTTGATACATCTTGACACGGTGCATTATTCAAAAGGAATATTCCTTCATCCACTCCCTATGTGGCATGTATGATGGATGCCAGTATTCCATCCAGAGCCGAATGAGTACTAAAACAATAGGTTAAATATTAAGATTGTCATCATCATACAGTTGATTTTCATCAACAGAAGAAAACGGGCTGAAATGGGGAGGGACTTCCTGAACTCTTCCAATCAATCAATCAATCAATCAGATGTATTTATTAAGCCCTTTTTACATCAGCAGTTGTCACAAAGTGCTTATACAGAAACTGAACCTAAAACCCCAAAGGGCAAGCAATGCAGATGTAGAAGCACAAAATAAACGGTGTGCACTAATGAATACGACCCCGTTTTTTTCTCATCCCTGTAGGTGTCATTGACCCGTAGCCCTCCTGTAAGAGGTGGGGATGCCCAGGGGGAGGGGATCCTCCTGACCTCCTATGACCGCACGCTGGTCATCAAGCAGATCTCTAGTGAGGACGTGGCAGACATGCACGGCATCCTGTCTGAATACCACCAGGTAATGTAATAACACCCGGGCTGTGGACAGCTGAATTAACTTCAGTTCAAAGCCCATGGATGCGTCCCAAATGGCATCATATCTCCTTTTAAAGTGCACTACTTTTGACCAGAGTCCTATGGGTCCTGGTCAAAATTAGTGCAATACATAGGGAATAGGGTGCCATTTGTAATACAACACTAGTGAGGGTAAAGTTGCCCTTTTATTATGGTCAAGTGTTGCGATGCTCTCTAGTACAACTGGTGAAGTGAACAGTGCATTTGATAAATAAAAACATTGGTTGGTTGCATCAAAAGCATTACAGCAACATGGGCTTCCTTGAATTGCAAATTAGCATCTTATACTGAATCATATGGTCTGGTCTGTGTACTCTGGTGGAACTGTAGTGTTAGGTTATAGTAGTAGGGTGGTATATCATGTAGAACTGTTCATCCATGCCTCGTGTTTTGCATGGCAAGCCGTTTACTAGGCGAGGAGAGAATATTTTTTCCACCTTAATACAGTTTTATGTCTTTGGAATGGAGAAATGTTAGTCAATTATGCTTTTTCACATCAATTTAACAGCTAGTCTCATTGAACTTGGCGTTAATTAATTTGTGTTCATGAGAGGGAAAACATTTTGGCACAGGCTACATTTAATTTGAAAGCCTTACATTTACATTTTAGTCATTTCCAGAGCGACTTACAATTAGTGCATTCATCTTAAGAAAGTTTGGTGAGACAACGACATATCAGTCATAACTACTTTATGGAGGGATAAAGTAGTTCCTATCAGCAAATTCAATACTTTTGTATTTCCCCAAAAAAATAGTGTGGAGGGGGTTGCCATTGTTAACTTAAAATTACACAATGACTAGGCTCCAGTTTAATAGTCGCCATCACACTCCGGCCAGGTCCATCTCCCGTGAGACTACTGCACAGGCGTAGTAATAACAACGTGATAGCACCGTAAAAACAGAAATATAGGGATACTTAAAACATGAATTTAACAGCCGTGGGATTCATTTAAGATGCTCTTTGAAGTGGTAGGGTTTCAGACGTTTTCAGAAGATGGGCAGGGGCTCTGCTGTCCTAGCTTCAGGGTAGGGCTTGGCGATATGTCCAAAATATCATATCATATTTCTTTCTCATTTATGAGGGTATTTTATGTTTCTGGATAATAAAAGTTCCAGATATGCTTCATAAGTAGTGCATGACCCTAGGGTGGCAACAAATACATTCTATGTGCTTTTAGTGGGGCATTCTCTCTTCTGATTGTTTACAGTTCAGTGAAACTTCAACCAAAAATCATTTTTATACATTTCTGCATTTCCTTCACACATTTATAATTTTCACACTGTACCACATTTGTTTTGTCTTTGTATGCCTCTATTCTCCTATTGCTAGGTTTCCATCCATTTGGCGACAGATTTTCATGCGAATATTACAAAATCTGCATAAAAACAATATGCGCATTTTCCCACCAGATATGTTTCCATCAAATGGACATGTTGCCGACAAAAGTGTGTGATGACGTAGTGCACATAAAAATAACTTTTGCTGTTGAATTCCCATGCATTTTCAACTCTACTGATGGTTTTGTCACAAAATACAGTGGGGGAAAAAAGTATTTAGTTAGCCACCAATTGTGCAAGTTCTCCCACTTAAAAAGATGAGAGAGGCCTGTAATTTTCATCATAGGTACACGTCAACTATGACAGACAAATTGAGGGAAAAAAATCCAGAAAATCACATTGTAGGATTTTTTATGAATTTATTTGCAAATGATGGTGGAAAATAAGTATTTGGTCACCTACAAACAAGCAAGATTTCTGGCTCTCACAGACCTGTAACTTCTTCTTTAAGAGGCTCCTCTGTCCTCTACTCGTTACCTGTATTAATGGCACCTGTTTGAACTTGTTATCAGTATGAAAGACACCTGTCCACAACCTCAAACAGTCACACTCCAAACTCTACTATGGCCAAGACCAAAGAGCTGTTAAAGGACACCAGAAACAAAATTGTAGACCTGCACCAGGCTCGGAAGACTGAATCTGCAATAGGTAAGCAGCTTGGTTTGAAGAAATCAACTGTGGGAGCAATTATTAGGAAATGGAAGACATACAAGACCACTGATAATCTCCCTCGATCTGGGGCTCCACGCAAGATCTCACCCCGTGGGGTCAAAATGATCACAAGAACGGTGAGCAAAAATCCCAGAACCACACGGGGGGACCTAGTGAATGACCTGCAGAGAGCTGAGACCAAAGTAACAAAGCCTACCATCAGTAACACACTACGCCGCCAGGGACTCAAATCCTGCAGTGCCAGACGTGTCCCCCTGCTTAAGCCAGTACATGTCCAGGCCCGTCTGAAGTTTGCTAGAGTGCATTTGGATGATCCAGAAGAGGATTGGGAGAATGTCATATGGTCAGATGAAACCAAAATATAACTTTTTGGTAAAAACTCAACTCGTCGTGTTTGGAGGACAAAGAATGCTGAGTTGCATCCAAAGAACACCATACCTACTGTGAAGCATGGGAGTGGAAACATGCTTTGGGGCTGTTTTTCTGCAAAGGGACCAGGACGACTGATCCGTGTAAAGGAAAAAATGAATGGGGCCATGTATCGTGAGATTTTGAGTGAAAACCTCCTTCCATCAGCAAGGGCATTGAAGATGAAACGTGGCTGGGTCTTTCAGCATGACAATGATCCCAAACACACCGCCCGGGCAACGAAGGAGTGGCTTCGTAAGAAGCATTTCAAGGTCCTGGAGTGGCCTAGCCAGTCTCCAGATCTCAACCCCATAGAAAATCTTTGGAGGGAGTTGAAAGTCCGTGTTGCCCAGCGACAGCCCCAAAACATCACTGCTCTAGAGGAGATCTGCATGGAGGAATGGGCCAAAATACCAGCAACAGTGTGTGAAAACCTTGTGAAGACTTACAGAAAACGTTTGACCTGTGTCATTGCCAACAAAGGGTATATAACAAAGTATTGAGAAACTTTTGTTATTGACCAAATACTTATTTTCCACCATCATTTGCAAATAAATTCATTAAAAATCCTACAATGTGATTTTCTGGATTTTTTTCTTCTTCTCATTTTGTCTGTCATAGTTGACGTGTACCTATGATGAACATTACAGGCCTCTCATCTTTTTAAGTGGGAGAACTTGCACAATTGGTGGCTGACTAAGTACTTTTTTTCCCCACTGTAAAATGTGTTTATATAGCGAATGTGTGCCCACTCTGGCATGTGCACTCTAGCCAACAGCTCGTGTATATACAGTGCGGGTATAGCTTACATCATGATATTATTATGGACAAAAGAGCAAGATTTATTTGTATTTGTCAAACGGCAGCCAAGCTTCGATTATCATGTCACCAGAATAAGACCCTCGATATTTATTGGAAAGGAGCATCAAGCTCATCACCTTGCACTTTCACCACCCTGTGAAGTTCATCATAACTTATTTCATCTGTAGCCTAATAAACTGCATGCTTTCCGAGTCATAGTAGGAGAGGACCACAGATGTCATCACGTGACTCCAGGGTTACTTCAATATGATGGTTATTATATCAATATTTGCGCATAAAAGCATTTCCACCGCCATTTCTCGCATAATTTATTTTACAGACACAAAAAGATCCATCCTTGTCTAGTGTATTTTGTTTTGTCGACATTTGCAAAGTTTACTGACAAGCAGGAGTGGAGAAGTATGATGTATTTATTTCAGCCTTGAGAGAATGAATGCGCGGTTTGGGACTGTCTGTAAAGGTGGCAGTGCTATCTTTATCAGCATCATAAAAGCTTATAAAAAATATGTTGGGTCATTTTAACAGATTTGTATTTTCTTATAACCGGTCAAAACTGATGTAATTTGGAAATCTGTCCCATTTTTTTGGGGGGGGGGGCTATTGCATTTTCTCCCTGGTCCCTAAACGTCTTTGCTGCGTGAGAGAAGCAGAGATGAAAGAGGAAAGTGAAAACAAACTACCGATATCAACTAGATTCTATCGATTTATGACATTATTCTGGTGAGCAAGGGTTTGTTTAGTCTTCTACGGCAACAAGTAATGACAGAAGAAAAGCGGCATGTTTCTAATAATAGACAACTTTATAAAAAAATAGCCTACCAAAATGTTGGAAATTATAAGCAGAATCTAAAAAGACCTGTCAAAAAAAGCTAACAAACAGCTGACCTGCGCGGCACTAATGTGCGCACCCGAAGCTCTTGCTAGCAAATTAGCAGTCTCAGTTATTCAATTGATATTATCTTTAACAAACCAAACATTGAAATACTGTTATGTAAGGTAAAGTAAAAATCCAAACAGGTCCGTGCATCAATACCGGTATATAATAAAATATGGTTTACCACCCAGCCCTACTTCAGGGGGAAGCTGGTTCCACAATTGGGGCGCCAGGACAGAGAAGAGCTTTGACTGGGCTGAGCGGGAGCTGACCCCTGTAGGGGTGGGACGGCCAAGAGACCAGAGGTGACAGAACGGAGTGCTCAGGTTGGGGTGTAAGGCTTTGAGCTTAGCCTGAAGATAGGGAGGGTCAGTTCCCCTTGCTGCTCCATAGGCAAGCACCATGGTCTTGTAGTATGTGAGCTTCGACTGGAAGCCAGTCATGCACCAGATGTGGATTTCTGGTTGGCCGAGGAATGAGTTGCCTTGCTCTGGGTTTGTGTTCAAAAACTGTCTCCGAGTAGGATTGCTGATCTAGGATTAGGTCCTCCCTGTCCATAATCTCATTCATTATAAAAAGACTAAACTGATCCTAGATCAGCACTCGTACTTTGAGGCCCTGGTTATTTTAAGAGCTCTTTTAGGCTAGTGTGTGCATGTGTCATTTGTCGCTGAATGAGCAGATTATAATCATCGGAGCAGCGGAGCTCTTAAATCTGCAGTGCCACTCTATTGATGCATCCCAAATGGCACCCTATTCCCGATATAGTGCACTACTCTTTGGCACTATATAGGGAAAATGGTGCCATTTGGGACCCATACTATGTCCTGGGGGCTTCATTTACCTTGCATCTCATCCACAGTGCCACTGCTGCTAATTTTGGTTCCATACAGACTGCAGAGAATAGAGAATAGCAGCTGGAGAATATAAATAGTACAGTCTTTTCAAAGCATTATATATTTTGTTAGCATTCTGCTAACTACCGTCTGTTCTAGCCAGGGGACTCTGAATAAGGTCTGTTTTGAAGTGTGTCCCTTTCAATAGATCACATTCTGAGTTGGGACATATTCGTAACCTGGATAGAGAGAGAGAAAGAGACCGAGAGAGCAATTTGGTTCCATTGTGGAAAACCAGAGGTGAATGAAAGGAGTTGTAAATGTACAGTACTGGTGTGTTACAAATGGCATCCTATTCCAACTAGACCCATTTCCCGGCCGTGTCATGAGAAGTTGTGAGCGCAGTTCGGAATCAAAAAGCTCTGTTTACCTAGCAGTGGATACGATCACGTTCAACTTCAAATGCAACTCATTCAAGTTAACAAACATGTAATCAGATACCACATCACAGATGTCATCAGAGGATTGATTACCTACTGTAGCAAGCCAGCCAGGCAAGGTAAAATATCACAAATAGAGATCTTGTGTGTTTTTATGGTAATCTCTCACTCACTGTTTGTCAAGGTCACGACTTAAGCGTTAGCTATCCTGCTACATAGGTTTTTGGTACGGGGATGCGCGCGCATCCCTCAAATGTGACGTTTGCTTGTAAACAAAATAATTGCTATATGATGCACTACTTTTGACCAGGGCCCTTTTGGGTGTTATTTCAGACACAATCACAGTCTATTTGCCCTTCATTCTTCCCCCTCTTCTCCCTGGCTGCAGCACATAGTTAAGTGTCATGGCAGCACTCTGCTACCCCAGTTCCTGGGGATGTACCGTGTGGGTGTGGAGAATGAGGAGACCTACCTAATCATCATGAGGAACATGTTCAGCCACAGACTGGTGGTGCACAGGAAGTACGACCTTAAGGTGAGACTGAGAGAAAAATACACACACACACAGTACAATATCAAGATGAGAGAGATGGACACACACCTAGGGTTGCAAAATTCTGGTAACTTTCCAAAAATTCCCAGGTTTTTAGAAATCCTGATTGGAGGATTTCTTTCTGGAAAACCTGGGCATTTTGGGAAAGTTACCAGAAGTTTGCAACTCTAGTCACCTGTTGTATAATGCTTGTACACCTGTAGTGTTCTGTAATGCTTGTTCCATAAGCTACTTCATGATTTACACTCATATAATCCCTGACCTTGCCTATTAAACTCTAATCTTATTGCTACTCAGGGCTCTCTGGTGTCTCGTGAAGCAAGTGGCAAAGAGCGGGTAAGGCGACTAAGAATGTGTATCTCACCCAACCAACCATACATGTGCCTTTCTTAAGGACTAGTCCTATTAGCCACCCACAGTAGTGTTGCACAGTATACCGAAAGTTCTGAACTTTTTAGATCCTAGAACATTAAAAAACGGTTTGGTACTAGAATTTTTCATACTTTCGGTACTTCTATCATATGCGTCTCACGTCGTCTACTGATTGAGAGAGGATCAAGTCTATAGGCGATGTCCCCTTATAGCACGAGCACACCGTGCCTGCTGCAGTTATCCACTGCTAGCTCTAGCATGTCCTGAGGAACCACTGCACTCACTGGGAGTCAGGGCTATATCATGTTAGCTCCCCACTCATGCTGTACAGACGCAAACACACTTCAATAATGAGACACGGCATGTAGAAATGTTACAACTGTTAATTACTGTTCGCAAAACAATGTCCTTTACAGACTAGAACACTTTACAATGCAAGAACAGAAGATACCGGTAGCATCCAACTTTCCTTGCTAGCTTACAGATGACGCTAACATCAAATCACAACCCTAGTACTTTGATACCATAATGCAAAATATGCTGATTTCAAAGCTGATTGTCACCATAAAAACATAGTCATTAACCAGGTTTCCATCCAACCTTTTTATGTCCACAAAACAAAATACGCTAGACAAGGTGGGATCTTTTTGTGTTGGTAAAATTAATAATGGGAGAAATGTTGGTGGAAATGCTTTTATGCACAAATATTGATATAATAACCATAATATCGAAGTAAACTTGGAGTCACGTGATAACATGTTCTGTGGTCCTCCCTCTACGACTCGTCGGGAAAGCATGCAGTTTATTAGGCTACAGATGAACTAAATTATGATGAACTTCACAGGGTGGTGGAAGTGATGAGCTTGATGCCCCTTTCCAATAAATATCAAGGGTCTTATTTTGGTGACATGATAATCGATGCTTGGCTGCCATTTGGCAAATAAAAATCTCACTCTTTTGTACCTAATCATAATCTCATCATGTAGGCTATATACGTGCTCTCAAGTCAACAGTGTGCAGATAGCGCTGTTGGCTAGAGCGCATGGGCCAATACCAGAGTGGGCCCACTCGCTATATAAAACAGAAATGTTTTGTGAGAGAACCATCAGTAGAGTTGAAAATGCGATGGAAACCCATTTAACCGCCAAAGGTATTTTTATGTGCACTATGTCATCACGTAGAGCCTTTTATCTGCAACAAGTCAATTTGATGGTGGGAAAATTTGCAAATTGTTTTTAATGCAGATTTGAGAATATTCACATGAAGATCTGTCGCCAATTGGATGGAAACCTCGCTATTGCCAAAAACTTTATTAATTCACTTCGTCTCCCTCGCCTCAGTCACATCTCTCCTTCTCACTGTGGGTGTGAATGATGTCATTAGGTCCTACAGAAGGTGCACACTGTGATAAAAGAAGACATTGCTTCTTCTATGTAAATGTTGATTCATCTGTATCCCCATGAAATCAGCCAAAACATGCTCAAAAAGTCAACGCATGCACACACTCTTATTGAATATGCATTCATCTGTATTGTGAATAGGCCTAGGCTACATCTTGATTTACCTGGTTTATCAATAGATTTAGCATTCAAATAAATGATTACCATTATGTTATATTGGTAAAAACTAAGTCAAATTGATTGTATGATTCAATTAATTCATTAATTACAGTGTTTCCCAAACTCTGTCCTCGGGACCCCAACGGGTGCACGTTTTGGTTTTTGCACTAACACTACACAGCTGATTCAAATGATCAAAGCTTGGTGATTAGTTGATTATTTGAATTAGCTATGTAGTGCTAGAGCAAAAACCAAAATTGGGTCCTGAGGACAGAGTTTGGGGAAACTCTGCATTAATGCATACATGGAAAAATTTACATCAAACATTTCAAATGTAATGATATTGAACTCAAAAGATCAGTCTGGATCAAGTGCCATTCTGTGACTTTGGCTAATACACCTTTATTTATGGTATCATTTTGGTATCGAGTATCGTGATGGTATTGAGTATCGTGATACTAAACCTGGTATTGGTATTGAAGTCAAAATTCTGGTATCGTGACACTAACCTACAGTACATGTGACCCACCACCTTGATTCTGTCCTATGTAGCAAAATTTGAAATTATGTTTTTTACATTGGATAAAAGTAAAGACTCTGAGCTAGAAAATTGTATATCATCAGTTGAGGAACAATGGGGTTGATTAAACTGTTGATAAACTTGTAACCCCACTTTTGAGAAAATGGCCCGTGAATGTTTTGGTACACCAACTGGATAGCTCTTCTTTGTCTACACCCATTCAGCATTGTTCACACCCTCTTAAGCAATAGCCCCACCCATCTCTTTAAGGATTCACATGTGAGGCCATGTGCTAAACAGAGTGAGTAAGGTAGTGTAGTAAACAACCAAAGATTATGACTAAAAGTGGTGAAAGTAGTAGCAAAAAGTAGTTGTGAAAATACACTATCTAGTCCTTGGCCTATATCCTAATCTGATTTTGGTGCAGGTCATATTGTTCTTCACATTACCGTCTCTGGTAAACACACTATATCAACTAAAATCCACATTTATTTGTCACATGCACAGGATACAGAAGGTGTAAACTGTACAGTGAAATGGTTACTTGCATAGTGGAGTCTTTTGTTTAGACCCATAATCCCAACCCGTACTACCATGCATGAATCTGCAGGTAGCTAAAGCTAACCAACTAGGTTCAATGTTAGCTAGCGAGCTAACATTAGGCTAAAACAGTACAAATGGCTTTCTGAGGTACAAATAATATTACTACATAGCTCATACAGGTAGCCTAAACACCCAGGGTTCGCACAAGGTGCTTGAGGTGCTCAAAGTATTTGAATTTGGCACTCTGAAATTCTAGTACTGGAATACCTTGAAAATCAGACATTTCCTCAAGTTGGTACTTGAAAAGTACTTGGATTAAAATGAGAGGAGAACAGAAAATGATCAAATATGCCTACCTCTGCGAATGAGTGGAATCATGAATGATTCATGCGTGCTTGTTATGTTCGCCTGCGCCCTCGGATTTGCCTTGTTAGCAGTGCATTAATTCACTCTGTCCAACAGGAAACTCAGCCCACGACATAGGCCGAGAGGTGAAATTAACTACCTCAGCCCAGACCTATAGTGGCAAGTGGCAGAGAGACGCTGCTGACAGTGTCAACAGACATCCCCCAAACAAAAAACCCTTGACTCTCGGAGAATAAGTGTACAACTGGTAAATAGACGCTGATATTTCAGTCAGATGTCTAGCTATCTAGGTAGCTCAAGGGCTCTGGCTGTTAGCCAGGTAGCTAGCTATAACTAGCTGCCTAGAAGGATGAAGTTAAAAGCTAACGTTGAACGGAGCCTGACCTCAGCAGGAGCAGTAGACTTAAATTAAGCTAGCTATAATCAAAAGATGGGCTGCTATAACTTCTCATAACATAATACATTTTCTTTACAGAGAGTAGTGAGACAGACAGTGGTGAGTCAGGCTGGAAAGGAGATACACAGAGAGAGGTAGCATTGATACAAGCAGGGAGAGAGGTTAGTAGTGCAGTGGTTCCCAAACTTGGGGTCGGGTCCCCTAAAATTTAAATATACTGAACTAAAATATAAACGCAACATGCAACAATTTCAAAGATTTTACTGAGTTACAGTTCATATAACGAAATCAGTCAATTGAAATTTAATAGACCCTAACATATGGATTTTACATGACTGGGAATACAGATATACATCTGGGCCTCAGGATCTCATCACAGTATCTCTGTGCATTGAAAATGCCATCGATAAAATGCAATTATGTTCATTGTCCGTAACTTATGCCTGCCCATACCATAACAGCACCGCCACCTTGGGGAACTCTGTTCACAACGCTGACATCAGCAAACCGCTCGCTCACACGATGCCATACACGTGGTCTACGGTTTCTAGGCCGGTTGGACGTACTGCCAAATTCTCTAAAACGACATTGGAGGCAGCTTATGGTAGAGAAATTAACATTCAGTTCTCTGGCAACAGCTCTGGTGGATATTCCTGCAGTCACCATGCGAATTGCACACCCCCTCAAAACTTGAGACATCTGTGGGATTGTGTTGTGTAACAGAAATGCACTTTTTAGAGTAGCATTTTATTGTCCCCAGCACAAGGTGCATCAGTGTAATGATCATGCTGTTTCATCAGCTTCTTGATATGCCACACCTGTCAGGTAGATGGATTATCTTGGCAAAGGAGAAATGCTCACTAACAGGGATGTAAACATATTTGTGCACACAATTTGAGAGAAATAAGCTTCTTGTGCATATGGAACATTTCAGGGATCTTTTATTTCAGCTCAAGAAACATGGGACCAACACTTTACATGTTGCATTTATATTTTTGTTCAGTGTAGGTCCCCTGAGAGAATCTTATCAAACACAATAATAACTTATTTCTCTTCAAATGGGAATAGAATACATTTACATTTTAGTCATTTAGCAGACGCTCTTATCCAGAGCGACTTACAGTTAGTGAGTGCATACATTATAATTTTTTTCATACTGTCCCCCCATGGGAATCAAACCCACAATAATACAACATTTTAGAGTAAACTACACTGTTAGAATTCACTTATGTCATTATGTGTTGGGACAGCCTGTGGGACCTAAACATTTGTGAAATATAAAGACAATTTAGATATAAGACAATTTCATATTATTATCATGTACACTGAACAAAAATATAAACTCAACATTCAACAATTTCAAAGACTTTACTGAGTTACAGTTCATATAAGGTAATAAGTCAACATCATCAGAACGTAAAACAAAAGTCATTAACCGGTTCACATGCTTCTAAAATAACGGTTCTATTCCGGAACAGTATGGATCACTTCCATTCCCGGTTCTGATTCTGTTCTTTGAAAAATGTATTTATTTTTTGGTTCTGTTCCCTGAACCAGTTCCAACCCCTGGTTCTACCTGATAATTAATTGCACCCACTTGGTGTCCCAGGTCTAAATCAGTCCCTAATTAGAGGGGAAGAACAAAAAAATGCAGTGGAACTGGCTTCGAGGTCCAGAGTTGAGTTTTAGGGGCCTATTTCCTCCATATAATCATGAATCAGTTCACTTGACTTGCTTGGGAAAGTTCTCATGCGTCTGTTTCAATGTTTCATAACGGTCCCTCAGGTGAAAGAGCTGCCCACCTACAAGGACATGGACTTCAGAAACAACATGCAGAAGGTGTACGTGAACGAGGAGCAGAAGGAGAAGGTCATGGAGAAACTCAACAGAGATGTGGAGGTAAGGTGACCTCCACAGATTTAGAACTAGAATTCAGTCTATTTCTATGTTGACCTCTTCAGTTCTAGAACCTGCCCTCCTATTCTATTGAGTCTACCACAAGGTGGCAGTAGAAACATTCTAGCTGTTTGTTACCATTATACCACCATCTCCATCCATAGTAATCGTTTGTGTGTGTCCTGTTCTGTAGTTTCTGGTCAAGCTAAAGATCATGGACTACAGCCTGCTCCTGGGTATCCATGACTTGGGGCGGGCTGAGCGGGAGGAGGAGGAGGGAGAGGAGCCCTCCAATGAGGAGGATGGGGAGACTGAGAATGACTTGACGCAGGCCCCTAACGTGGGCTCCTACGGAACGTCTCCTGAGGGCATCGCTGGCTATATGGCCTCCTGCAAGCCCCTGGGGCCCGGGGAGTTTGACCCCTATGTGGATGTGTATGCCATAAAGAGTGCCCCTGGTAGGTTCAAGGGAAAGTTGGGAAATTACAGGGTTGGGTCAAGTCAATAATTTTAAGCAATTGGATTCTCAATTTACCTACTGAATTTTTAATGATTTTTAAATGGAATTGACTCCAATCCTGGATTTACAGTTACACTGCGATTTGGGTCATTTGGGGTTTTAAGCAGTGACTTTATTCAGCATCTGGTCTGTTTTCCCTCCTCAGGAGCCCCTCAGAGGGAGGTGTACTTCATGGGTCTGATAGACGTTCTGACACATTACGACACCAAGAAGAAAGCTGCTCACGCAGCCAAAACTGTCAAGCATGGGGTGAGTGAAAAGGGCGAAGGGAAGAGGGTTAGGGTCTGTCCTATTAAACATAATTTAGATTCAGAATGCTAAGGATATATTGGAAAATTAGCTTTTCATTTAGCAACACCTTTCATTCGCCTTATGATGTAAGATACGATGAGATACTCGCGGTAATGCATACTGTGCATTACCGCTTTTTCTAACATCAGTCCCTATTAATCAATAATTGAAAGTGACCTATTCCCAATGCAATTTCTTGTTTTCCATGGTTTCGATGTTGTGCTGATCACATCTCTGGGATTAAAGAGGGTTAAGGGTCTCCCATTAGAAAACAGTGCCTTCAGAAAGTATTTACATCCCTTGAATTTTTACATATTCTGAAATGTTTACTGATTTAAAATGAAAAGCTGAGTCAATAAGTATTCAATCCCTTTGTTATGGCAAAATAAAATTGCTTAACAACATGATCTCTGTACCCCACACATACAATTATCTGTAAGTTCCCTCAGTCAAGCAGAGAATTTCAAACACAAAGACCAGAGAGGTTTTCCAATGCCTCGCGAAGAAGGGTACCTATTGGTAGATGGGTAAAAAAAAAAAGCTGACATTGAATATCCCTTTGAGGATGGTGAAGTTATTAATTACAGTTTGGATGGTGTATCAATACACCCAGTCACTACAAAGATACAGACATCCTTCCTATCTCGGTTGCCGGAGAGGAAGGAAGCCGCTCAGGGATTTCACCATGAGGCCAATGGTGACTTTATAACAGGTACAGAGTTTAATGGCTGTGATAGGAGAAAAATGAGGATGGATCAACAACATTGTATACTGAACAAAAATATAAATGCAACATGCAACAATTTCAAAGATTTTACTGAGTTATAGTTCATATAAGGAAATCAGTCAATTGAAATAAATTCATTAGGTCCTAATCTATGGATTTCACATGACTGGGAATACAGCTATTCATCTGTTGGTCACAGATACCTTTAAAAAAAAAGGTAGGGGCGTGGATCAGAAAACCAGTCGGTATCTGTTGTGACCACCATTTACCTCATCTCCTTCGCATAGAGTTGATCAGGCGGTTGAATGTTGTCCCACTCCTCTTCAATGGCTGTGCGAAGTTGCTGGATATTGATGGGAACTGCAACACGCTATCGTACATGTAAATCCAGAGCATCCCAAACATGCTCAATGGGTGGCTTGTCTGGTGAGTATGCAGGCCATGGAAGAACTGGGACACTTTCAGCTTCCAGGAATTGTGTACAGATCCTTGCGACATGGGGCCATGCATTATCATGCTGAAACATGAGGTGATGGATGAATGGCACAACAATGGGCCTCAGGATCTCGTCACGGTATCTCTGTGCATTCAAATTGCTATCGATAAAATGCAATTTTGTTCGTTGTCCGTAGCTTATGCCTGCCCATACCATAACCTGACCGCCACCATGGGGCACTCTGTTCGCAACGTTGACATCAGCAAACCGCTCGCCCACACGACGCCATACACGTGGTCTGCGGTTGTGAGGCTGGTTGGGACGTACTGCCAAATTCTCTAAAACGACGTTGGAGGCGGTTTATGGTAGAGAAATTAACATGAATTTCTCTGGCAAAAGCTCTGGTGGACATTCCTGCAGTCAGCATGCCAATTGTACGCTCCCTCAAAACTTGAGACGTCTGTGGCATTGTGTTGTGTGTCAAAACTGCACATTTTAGAGGGGCTTTTATTGTCCCCAGTACAAGGTGCACCTGTGTAATGATCATGCTGTTTAATCAGCTTCTTGATATGCCACACCTGTCAGGTGGATGGATTATCTTGACAAATGAGAAATGCTCACTAACAGGGATGCAAAATAAATTAAATAAATACGCTTTTTGTGCAAATGGAACATTTCTGGGATCTTTCATTTCAGCTCATGAAACAATGGACCAACGCTTTATGTTGCGTTTATATTTTTGTTCAGTGTAGTTACTCCACAATACTAACTTAATTGACAGAATAAATAAAAAAAGGAAGTATATTCCAAACCATGCATCCTGTTTGCAACAAGGCACTAAAGTAATACTGCAAGAAATGTGGCAAAGCAATTAACTTTTTGTCCTGAATACACAGCCTCGTCTCATAAACTAGACGTAACATAGTAAATATAAATCCGAGACACTCAAAGTAGTATGTTACATGGTATGGTTACATAAGACAAATGGTAACTTAAGGCAAAAACTAAAGTAGGGTGGTTTGTCGAGATGGATGGATGGGTGGGCGTATAACGCGAACCCAAAGGTTGCGAGTTTGAATGTCATCACGGACAACTTTAGCATTTTAGCAACTTTTCAACTACTTACTACTTTTTAGTTACTTTGTAACTACTTAGCATTTTAGCTAACCCTAACCTTTAACCTAACTCCTAAACTTAATCCTAACCTCTAGCCTAGCTAACGTAGCCACCTAGCTAGAATTTGTAACATATCATAGGGTTTGAAAATCCGTAACATATTGTACGTTTTGCAATTCGTAACATATAATACAAATTGTAATTCGTAAAATATCATACGAAATAAGTGATGGACATTCACAAATTTAATACATACCATACGAAACATAACATATCATACTAAGTGGAGTGTATTGGATTTACATACAGAATAATATGAAATGCTCTGAGACCAGGTTGGAATACAAAGTGTTATGTTTGGGGCAAACCTAATACAACACATTACTGAGTAGCACTCTCCATATTTTCAAGCATAGTTGTGGCTGCATCATGTTATGGTATGCTTGCAATCGTTAAGGACTCTGGAGTTTTTCAGGATAAGAAAGAAATGGAATGGAGCTAAGCACTGGGAGATGAATTCACCTTTCAGCAGGATAATAACCTAAAACACAAAGCAAAATCTTTACTGGAGTTGCTTACCAAGAAGACGGTGAATGTTCCTGAGTGACCGAGTTACAGTTTTGACTTAAATCTTCTTGAAAATCTATGGCAAGACCTGAAAATGGTTGATCAACAACCACTTTGACAGTGCTTGAAGAATTTTCAAAAGAATAATGGGCAAATGTTGCACAATCAAGATGTGGAAAGCTCTTAGAGACTTACCCATAGAGACTCAGCTATAAGCGCTGCCAAAGGGGATTATAAAATGTGTTGATTCAGGGGTGTGAATACTTATGTGATATATTTTTCAATTTCAATACATGTTCAATAATGTCTAAAAACATGTTTTCACTTTGTCATTATGGGGTATTGTGTGTAGATGGGTGAGATTTTTTGTTGTTGATTTAATCCATTTTGAATTCAGGCTGTAACAACAAAATCTGGAATAAGTCAAGGGGTATGAATACTTTCTGAAGGCGCTGTATCTTATTTGTTAAACTATAACTGGAAAATTAGCATTTAATTGATACTTTTCATTCCCATTATATGAGATGCTCATTCTGACGTGTACCCTTCTCTATACCTCTGTCTTCAGGCTGGTGCTGAAATCTCCACTGTCCACCCAGAACAGTATGCCAAGCGATTTCGGGATTTCATCTCCAACATCTTTGCATAGCAGGACATTATAACCACCACCGGTACAACCAACCTTTTCCCATTTAGAATGGATGGTTTTTATGGTTCTTTCTCTTTTACTTTTGTTCTGGGACTTTCTGCCTTTTTTTTTTTATGTACATTTATATCATGAAACATTGACCCCAAAAAGGCAAACACACAGATCATGTTAGTTTGATCTCACACCTGACTGTTTCCATTGTTGTAATGTATTACTGATACATATTTATTTTTAGATTTATAAGATGAATGTGATTCCATATTGATAAGCACTCTGACTGACTTTGTAGCAAAAGGGTACTTAGGCTAATACTGCTGCTTGTGTCCTCATAGAGATGTTACACTGAAAAGGATTGATTAGACTTAAAGGGACAACCTGGGATTGATACATGGACCACTTTGTTGTTGTATGAGTCCCAGATTGCCCCTTTAACCCAGTCAGTTGAAATCCTGGGTTGTGTCCATTAGGCACCAAACAGAAGGAAACTGAGTGAAACTGGGAGGTGCAGTACTACCAATGACTAGGTACTAACTACCTGAACTTGTCCAATAAGAAATCATGGTTATTTACCTGCTACTGAACACGACCCTGGATTGGTCGGATCTACTGAATGTACTAATATAACTGGACATGGGAACATATCATTGTAGTGAACCCTACAGTAAATATCAGAGCAATTTGTCTCAAAGGGAAAGTCTTGTGGGATTTGCCATGAACGTCCCTCTTCATCATCTCACATTGGATCATATGGAGCATTATGCTATCATGACTGGACTTGGGACCAGAGCCCATTGTTGGACTGACAATGTCCTTCTCAACACCTTTTGGTGCCTCAAACTGAGAATAATCTTTAAAGGACTTCTTAAGAATCAATGTTATGGGGAATAAGTCTGTTTTTTGTATAATCATTCTAACTCCCTCTCACACGTTGTCATACCAAATATGTTTGCTTGACAATGACAGCAATGGACCAAGCTAGAATAAAAGATGAGTAGAGATAGATGATGGTCTATGCTTGGTCAGATTTGACTACTATTATTATTATTATTATTATTATTATTATTATAACGTATGAAGAGACTCCACAGAAGAACTAGCTTGGGTATTATGTGTTACTCATAAAATATAGCACTACATTTCAGCTGCTTTATGCAATTTGATTGCCTTAAAGATGTGATGAGTTTCTAGTATAGAAGTTGAATACACTGACAGGCTGAATAGTTACAGTATGGGGAAGTGAAGCCTTGTAACCATTGTGATCATTGATTGCACATCTTGTATTTTTGCAAATCAGCTTTTGGATAAAAATATATTTTACAAAGATTTTCTGAAATGTGTTGAATATTTTTTTTTTTTAAAGATTTTACATTACAGCAGTCACACAAATATCTCACTTGGTGTGTGGTTAGTGGTACAGTTGATAGGGGTGTGAGTTTGGTTAGTGGTACAGTTGATAGGGTTGTGAGTTTGGTATTTTATTAGGATCCCCATTAGCTGTTGCGAAAGCAGCAGCTACTCTTCCTGGTATCCACACAAAACATGAAACAGAACATTAATAGACAAGAACAGCTCAAGGACAGAACTACATACATTTCAAAACGGTACACAGCCTACATATCAATACATACACACAAAATATCTAGGTCAAATAGGGTAAAGGCATTGTGCCATGAGGTGTTGCTTTCTTTTTTTGTTTGTTTGGTTAGCGTTACAGTTGATAGGGGTGTTAGTTTAGTTAGTGGTACCACTAGAGTTATTTGAGTTTTACGCTGGCCACAGATAACAGGCCCGAGCCCAACACACGGACTGGAGGAGGTCAGGAGCCATAATTCTGCTGACAGACCTCTTCCTGTTGCTTTAGGAAAAGAGAGGAATTGACTACTCTTAACAAAGGGAAGCAAGCAGGATGGGCAGACTAAGGAGAGAAAATAATATCAGCCTTAAGCTAACAGAAATGCTGACAACCCAGAGAGGGGAGGAAGTTGGAACACCGCGTTCAGAACACGTCCCATGAGCCTCAGGCAACACAAATGTGGTCCCTGTGCTGCTCCTTATCACTCCGACCCCTGGAAGACCGGGGTGGCTGTGGTCCCTGTGCTGCTCCTTATCACTCCGACCCCTGGAAGACCGGGGTGGCTGTGGTCCCTGTGCTGCTCCTTATCACTCCGACCCCTGGAAGACCGGGGTGGCTGTGGTCCCTGTGCTGCTCCTTATCACTCCGACCCCTGGAAGACCGGGGTGGCTCTAGCCACTTGACCTTTTCAACAGAACAATAGTGCTGACTGCTCCTTCATTTCATTTGATGTATTTAGCAGGATAGTCCACTTATTAACAATAGCCAGTGCTTTACAGGGAGCCCTGAGTCCCATAAAATCAATGAAAACATATAAATTAAGTGGAGCTGATGGTGAGAACTGAAGTTATTACAGCACAAAAGCACCAACTTAGTTGACCCAATGCTTTGCCAAGGATGTCAAGTGGTTTCCCAATGTTGAGATCATGTCCTTTGCTTTGTCACCTAACCTGACAGGTGTTGATGACTTAATGATCTAACTCACTGTTTCAATGGGAAAACTGACTAGGGGTGATTCCCGCCCAAATTCATAGCACTAGATCATAGGTCGGCCAAAGGATGATGTTAATGCTACGAAGCTTTCGGGAAATACACCCCTTCTTAGGCAGATTAAACAATCCATTGAAATGTTGTCAGTAAAATCATTGCCTACAACTGGCTGTGCAGAGTAGCTGCCAAGCTGCTGTTGTTGAAGTAGTGATTTCAAAGTGGGTGCTGAGACGAACATCCCAGACGGGGAGAGATGGAGGGGCGTTCAGGTAAAAGGGCTCTCTCCCTCAGTGAGGTTTGATGTACCACAGGCTTCCTATGTCCCCCTACTCTCTCTGCCATTCGTCACTCCTCTACGGCTAAAGGGGCTTCCTGGGTTATGTGGCTGTTTTTTGGGTTTATCATACAGCCCCACTCATACCAACTAAACTGTGTTTTTACAGACGTTTCATCTTAGAAGACAATTGGTAGAATTATGGTTTTGTTGTTCGCCACAATATATGGACAGAGACATTCGGAAAGTATTCAGACCCCTTGATTTTTTTCACATTTTGTTATGTTACAGCCTTATTCTAAAATGGATTAAATTGTTTTTTCCCCCTCATCAATCTACACACACTAACCCATAATGACAAAGCAGAAACAGGTAAAAAATTTAAAATAAAGTGAAATATCACATTTCCATAGGTATTCAGACCCTTTACTCAGTACTTTGTTGAAGCACCTTTGGCAGCGATTACAGACTCGAGTCTTCTTTGGTGTGACGCTAAATAAATAAACCAAAGTAAAAAATAAAATAAAAAGTAACACAATAACATTTTTTTACATTTTAACATTTTAAGTCATTTAGCAGACGCTCTTATCCAGAGCGACTTACAGTTAGTGAGTGCATACATTATTTTTGTATTTTTCATACTGGCCCCCCGTGTGAAACGAACCCACAACCCTGGCGTTGCAAACGCCGTGCTCTACCAACTGAGCTACATCCCTGCCGGCCATTCCCTCCCCTATCCTGGACGACGCTGGGCCAATTGTGCGCCGCCCCATGGGTCTCCCGGTCGCGGCCGGCTACGACAGAGCCTGGATACGAACCAGGATCTCTAGTGGCACAGCTAGCACTGCGATGCAGTGCCTTAGACCACTGTGCCACTCGGGAGGCCATAACATAACAATAACAAAGCTATATACAGGGGGTACCGGTACCGAGTCAATGTGTGGGGGTACAGGTTAGTCGAGGTAATTGTACATTTGTAGGTAGCAAGTAGCAGCAGTGTAAAAACAAATAGGGGGGGTGTCAATGTAAATAGTCCGGGTGGCCATTTGATTAATTGTTCAGCAGTCTTATGGCTTGGTGGTAGAAGCTGTTAAGGAGCCTTTTGGACCTAGACTTGGCGATCCAGTACCACTTGCCGTGCGGTAGCAGAGAGAACAGTATGACTTGGATGACTGGAGTCTTTGACAATTTTTTGACACCGCCTAGTATATAGGTCCTGGATGGCAGGAAGCTTGGCCCCAGTGATGGACTGGGCCGTACGCACTACCCTCTGTAGTGCCTTGCGGTCGGAGGCCGAGCAGTTGCCATACCAGGCGGTGATGCAACCAGTCAGGATGCTCTCGATGGTGCAGCTGTAGAACATTTTGAGGATCTGGGGACCCATGCCAAATCTTTTCAGTCTCCTGAGGGGGAAAAGGTATTGTTGTGCCATCTTCACAACTGTCTTGGTGTGTTTGGACCATAATAGTTTGTTGGTGATGTGGACACCAAGGAGCTTGAAACTCTCGACCCGCTCCATTATAGCCCCGTCGATGTGAATGGGGGCATGTTCGGCCCTCCTTTTCCTGTAGTCCTCGATCAGCCCCTTTGTCTTGCTCACGTTGAGGGAGAGATGTTGTTGTCCTGGCACCACACTGCCAGGTCTCTGACCTCCTCCCTATAGGCTGTCTCATCGTTGTCGGTGATCAGGCCTACCACTGTTGTGTCGTCAGCAAACTTCATTATGGTGTTGGAGTCGTGCTGAGCCACGCAGTCGTGGGTGAACAGGGAGTACAGGAGGGGACTAAGCACGCACCCCTGAAGGGCCCCCGTGTTGAGGATCAGCGTGGCAGATGTGTTGTTGCCTACCCTTACCACCTGGGGGCGGCCCGTTAGGAAGTATAGGATCCAGTTGCATAGGGAGGTGTTTAGTCCCAGGGTCCTTAGCTTAGTGATGAGCTTTGTGGGCACTATGGTGTTGAATGCTGAGCTTTAGTCAATGAACAGCATTCTCACATAGGTGTTCCTTTTGTCCAGGTGGGAAAGGGCAATGTGGCGTGCGATTGAGATTGTGTCATCTGTGGATCTTTTGGGGCGGTATGCGAATTGAAGGGTCTAGGGTTTCCGGGATGATGGTGTTGATGTGAGCCATGACCAGCCTTTCTAAGCACTTCATGGCTATCGACGTGAGTGCTACGGGGCGGTAGTCATATAGGCAGGTTACCTTCGCTTTCTTGGTCACAGGGACTATGGAGGTCTGCTTGAAACATGTAGGTATTACAGACTCGGTCAGGGAGAGGTTGAAAATGTCAGTGAAGACACTTGCCAGTTGGTCTACGCATGCTCGGAGTACACTTCCTGGTAATCCGTCTGGCCCCGCGGCCTTGTGAATGTTGACCTGTTTAAAGGTCTTGTTCACATCGGCTACGGAGAGAGTGAAGCATAAAAGGCATTTCGCTTGTTTGGTAGGCTCGCGTCACTGGGCAGCTCACGGCTGGGTTCCCCTTTGTAGTCCATAATAGTTTGTAAGCCCTGCCACATCCGACGAGCGTCAGAGCCTGTGTAGTAGGATTCAATCTTAGTCCTGTATTGACACTTTGCCTGTTTGATGGTTCGTCTGAGGGCATAGCAGGATTTCTTATAAGCGTCCGGATCAAGGATCTCTCTGTACTTTGCTCCGTTCAGCTTACCCTCCATCCTGTCTAGTCTACCAGTCCCTGCCGCTGAAAAACATCCGCACGATGCTGCCACCACCAAGCTTCACCATAGGGATAGTGCCAGGTGTCCTCCAGACATGATGCTTGGCATTCAAGCCAAAGAGTTCAATCTTGGTTTCATCAGACCAGAGAATCTTGTTTCTCTTGGTCTGAGTCCTTTAGGTGCCTTTTGGCAAACTCCAAGCGGGCTGTCATGTGCCTTTTACTGAGGAGTGGCTTCTGTCTGGCCACTCTACCATAAAGGTAGTTTTTTATTTTTAATACATTTGCAAATCTGTTTTTGCTTTGTCATTATGGGGTATTGTGTGTAGATTGATAAGAAAAAAACATTTTTTTATCCATTTTAGAATAAGGCTGTAACGTCACAAAATGTGGAAAAAATCAAGGGGTCTGAATACTTCCCGAATGCACTGTATTTACCACTTACTTTATATGTGAAGGAAATATCATAAAGGGTTGATAGAGGAGCATACAATATGTGTGATGTACTAAGCAACAATGCTAAGTTTGCAGCTGTTATGGAGGTAAAGGTAGAGATTCTAGGTAGGCTGCTTTCCCTGTTCCACCCACGGTTACACTGAACCCATACGGTACCCTATTACCTATATCGTGCATTACTTTTAAACAAGGCAATAAAAAGTAATCCACTAAATAGGGAATGGGGCACTATTTGGGACATAGGCCAGTATTTTCTCCCTGGCAGCTCCACAGCCATCAAGGCTTTCCTGCTCTGCTTTGCTCCGCACCACCAACCCCCACCCCCTTCTTAGGATGTCCTGTCAACTCTGGCACTGAGAGGACAGGACAGGGGGAGGAGAGGGCTTCGTCTGTCACTCCAGTCAGCCTGAACTAAGCACAGATTCTCCAGGACACCAGAGCCAGTCCGGCCTCCTTGCTCCGCCAAGCCACAGCTAACTCGCAAGGCAGGCAGACCACCAGAACCCCCTGCCCTGAGGGACCTTTCCTGACCACCCATCATCTAACACCAGGTTCTCCTCTCCGCAGCACATCAAGGTACTGGATGTATGACAACTGTATGGCTTCCTGCTGTTCTTCACCTCTAGTAGAATTTGCAAAGATTTGAGTTTAGACTTGATAGACTAAGAGTGATAAATGAAAAAGTTAATTTGCGAATATTCATATTTATTATTTCATTCTCTCATTACCCTATACACAAAGTAATTTATTCATGCATTTTGTTACAATATTATTATGATTACTAAAGAGGAAAACTGGGGGAAAGAACGCCAAATTGTGATAATCTCAAATTAGCTAGTATACACATGGCATAGTGTCTGACTGTGTCTCAGGTAGATTAAAAACAAACTATATATATTCTTCATGACAATTCTGTGGTGTGAAATGTGAGAAGCATTTCATCTTGCAGCTCAAAACCAGCCAGAAATGCATGTTTCACCACTGCACTTCCTCCACTGCTTACATTATGTAATGTCTGATTTTAATCTGATTAACCCAATTCTAAACTAACACGGCTAACAATTTCCTCTGCTTTCAACAGACCATGAACGAATTCGACTTAGACAACTCCTCGTTAAATTTCTTCAATGGCACGCCCTGGTTCGTCCACGAGTGCACCATCAACCTGGATAAGGACTATCAGCGGATCGCCCTGTTTCTGCTCTACCTGCTGCTGTTCATGGTGGGGCTGGCTGAAAACACCCTGGTGGTCTGGGTCAACTGGCGCCGGCGCCACTCGGCCAACGGCGTCTTGTTCTGCATCATCAATGTGAGCTTGTCGGACCTGATGGTGGTTCTGACGTTGCCCTTCTTCATGCTGGAGGTGACCATGGACAAGGTATGGCTGTGGGGCCGCTTCCTGTGTAAAGTCACCCACCTCATCTACGTGGTCAACTTCTATAGCAGCACCTTCTTCCTGGCCTTCATGACCCTGGAGCGTTACCTGTCCCTGTCCAGGCCCTCGTCTCCCGCCTGCTTCCCCGTGGCCAGACGTCGCCGCTGGCTACTCTGCAGTGGTCTCTGGCTCCTCTCCCTGTTCCTGGCTCTGCTGGAGAACGTCCACATGGACCTGCTGGAGTGGGACGAGCCTGGCTGCTACATGCTGCCAGAGAACAACTACACCGAGTGGTTCGTCTCCGTCTCCTTCCTCTGCCTCATCTTCCAGTTCCTGGGCCCGGCCTCCGTCATTGTCACCTGTAACATCCTGATAGCCCGAGCGGTGCGCTCCGCTCCAGACGTGCAGGGAAGACGGGACGTCTGGCTGGTGCATGTGTACTCCCTGGTGTTTGTCCTCTGCTGGCTGCCGTACCACATGGTCTTGTTCCTGATGATGGTGGATGATCTGGACCCTCACGTGTTCAGCTGCAACACAGTGGAGGTGCTCTACAACTCCTACAGTTTGGTTGAGTGCCTGTCGCTCTTCCACTGCATCGCCAACCCTGTCCTTTACAACTTCCTCAGCAAGAGCTTCCGCACCAACCTGATCAATGCTGTGGTCCACTATGCACCCAGGGAGGGCGCAGGAGGGTCGAATCCCCAAGACACTGCACACAACGCAGGAGGACCAGACACTGGGAAGAAGGAACGCAAGCATAGCAGCATGAGCATCAGTCACTCTGACGTTGCTGCATTGTAGAAAAAGGAAGTGTCACATTGAGACTTAACTAGCTATCATCACTGAAGGACAATGGAGGAAAGGGGAAAAAAACACTTCAGAGCTGTTATCACAGGCTAAAAGACAAGAAGCTTTCTTACAGTCTGTTGTTGATGACTCTTGGGCTGAGTCCAGATTCTCCACTCTTCTCCCATGCAGCCTTGGTCACTAAGCAATAGTAATGTAAATGATGGGCTGACAAACACTCACTGTCCCTCTCATAATCTGTCTCCCGTTTTCCTCATTCAGCACATCAATGTTGTAAACAGAGGAAGGAAGGGAACTCTTTCAGTTTTTTTTTCTCCATCTTTTAACTTCCACAGGAACTTGTGTAGGAACTTCTGGAGGACATAATTAGTCATTACATCACAGGGTGAAGAGAAATGCTTCCTCGCAAACAAACATTTTCCTCTGTGCAACGCAGATAAGATTGATTCTTATAACTACTGACAACTTGTAAAAATGTTGAAATGCAACTGCTAAATATAAAAAAAATTGATTACACAAACATATAAACAAATCTTAATTTCCACAGTAACCGGCCATGTTTAATAAATGCTCTGATTCTATTAAATGTTTTTGTTTTTTTGCTGCTGAATTTGTAAATGTGTTGAACGCTGAATTAATAAAAGTAATTCAAACAGAATGATTGTGTTAATATAAAAGTCAACAACTTCACCTTTTTATGATTTACAATAGGGAAAAACAAAGGCAATACTATGAATAGCTCACATGTAGTAGACATTTAGTAGGAGGCAGGTAGCCTAGAGCGTTGGGCTAGTAACCCTCATTTGCTACAGAGGCGCCTTACTACTATGGCTGACCCTGTAAAACAACACATTTCACTGCACCTATCCGGTGTGTGACAATACAACATTTTCAAAAAATGTGTCCCGAATCAACTACTTCTATTGAAAGTATTTTCAAATAATGTCCTATAAATAGCCTACTATTTTTAAGTATTTAAGTACTTATTTCAAATACTATTTTCAAATGCATAGGTTAAATGCATGTTAGTGTATTTGAATCAGTGTACGAGTATTTTCAAATACTTTCCAAGTGTATTTCCAAATACATTCCAATATTCAACTACTTGTCTTTTCAAATAGAAAATATCTAAATACTTCCAGATGTCTTTGAAAGTAATTTTTAAAAAATACCCAGAGTATTATTTCAACACAGGTCTGATTGAATGTGGTAAAAATTTACAGAATCACAGTCCTAATTGTTTTGTTTAATACTGGCCTACGTTTGCTTTCACTGGGAAGTCCGGAAGGAATTTTCTGTTGGTTTAATGATGTTGACATGGTAATAAGTAGAGGGAGCAAAGGCTTAGGTTTCACTTCACATACGGCACAATGGGAGGAAGCAGCATACCAAGAACAGAACAGCGTTCCAGGTTCAAAGGTCACCAATCCCTAAAGCAGAATCTAGATAAACACTTTAAATTGTGCATTAATGCATATGCATCATTCATATGTCATGATGAATGTAGTATTCTGTGGCAGCGGACATCATAACAGTTCAAATAGAATGAAGAAAAAATGAAGCATTAGGGTTAGGTCGGAAAGTAACTAGACAGTGAGATCAACATGTATTTTTTGTTTACTTTATTCTTTCCAGAACTAGAAACGAGATATAAAGGCCAACGTTCATAGTTCTCACTAAAAAAAAGCACATAAAAGCATAAATAGAATAAATAGTTAGATAATCAGACTGATGAGGTGAGACACCAAATAGTTGTTTAAATGTCATCATACCCAAAGTGAGCACTTGAAGGACCACAAGTCTACAAAACACAATACTCATAACGTAGTGCCTTTTGAAATGCTGAGACAAGGCAGACGTGATTTCATGTGAATTTTAAACCTCTTGTGTGACTAAAACAAGCATTTCACTACACCCGCAATAACATTGCTAAATATGTGTATGTGACCAATAAAATTTGATTTGAAATGGCACTCTGGTTGGAAACCACCGTTCATACCATCTGATCAGTAACACATATGAACTACTATATCATGTCTGCATTATAGTCTATCACTACATAACTGAAATGCTTTGAGGAAGATGTACCTAACTGTTTTCCTAGGGAACAGATACAGCAAGGCCTCATTCATCCTCCCATTCTTCGGTTACAAAGTGTGACTGGTCAGGTACACGTAACCCATGTTAATGGGTACATTTGCTTGGTGCACGGTGGCAAATATTGTGTTTCACTCACACACACATGAATGGTCTGTCACGTGTTTCATATACAAATGGATGAACATGTAACTGACAAAAAGCTTACTGTGATAGAAAAATGTTTTTCATCTTTCATAAAACCGAGTAATAAGACACTTAAGACCTTAGGACAAAGTTTGACTACAACTTAGGAAAAGCCAATGGACTTGCCTTGAAAACATTAGTCAGTAAACAGTAACACGTCCTTCCTTCCATAGACAACAATGGATATACTGCCACCAAGTGGCTAAGCTTCTTCCAAGAAAGAAGATGTCCTTTCCTGCTACACTATGCTACAAAACTGGTCTCTTCAATCCATAATACCATCTCAAATACAGACATAAAACAAGTTAAATACATTCTACAAGTCTATAGATATGGTCCACAACCAGAAAGAGGTATTGAAAGAGAGTGAAAGAGAGAGAGAAGGAGCGAGAGACAGCAGACAAAGAGGGGGGGGAAAGTGAAAGAGACTGACTGGTCCACAGAGAAAAGGAAGTGAAAGAGACTGACTGGTCCACAGAGCGACACCAGAGGAATAGCTGATCAGGTGTCCAGGGCGGGAAGGGGTTCTTTGGAGTGATCATTGTACATGAAGGTCTGCTCTATGTTGAAGTCTGGAGGCAGGTGGTCTTTGTGGACGTCCATGTGGGAGGACACCAGCTTGAGCGTGGAAAAGTAGAGGCCGCAGACGGTGCAGCGGTACATGAGCGCCCCGGCGTGGGTCTTCAGGTGGCAGATCATGGTGGAGCGCCCTCGGAAGAACCTCAGGCACACCTTGCACTGGTACGGCTTCTCCCCAGTGTGGATGCGCAGGTGGTAGGTGAACTCGCCAGAGTGGGCGAAGCGTTTGCCACAGAAGCGACAGCGGTACCATTTCTCCCGGGGGATGGCGGCACCCATGGCCGACCCACCCACGCTAGAGGAGTTCCCATTGGACAGGAGGCCTGCGGGGAAGCCAGCCGCCACGGCCCCCTGGAGCAGCTTGTCTGAGAGGCTGAAGGAGCCCAGGCCGAAGCCCATATTGCCCAGCTTCCCCAGGCTGCCTGCCTCCAGGGGGGAGGAGGAGGAGCAGGAGGAAGGGTACTCCATCTGGTCAGCCTTTCGTTTCCCTGCCCACCCCTGGCTGCCCTGGGCCTCATTGGTGTGAAAGCTCAGGTGGTACTGGAAGGCTGAGGCGGAGCGGAAGGTCTGTGGGCATAAGAAGCAGCGCAGCTCCTCCTCTCCCTCTGGTCCGGCTGCTTTATGAGCCCTCATGGCCTCTCTGTCGGTGGCGGCCTCCTCGGCATGCAGGAACATGTGTCTGTCCAACAGAGGGCGATCTAGGAAGCTGCAGGCGCAGAGCGGGCAGGAGTAGACTGGCAGGGAGAGGTGGGTGAGGGCGTGCCACAGCAGGGCACACAGGGAGGGCTGGGGCAGCTGGCACACACCACAGCTCAGTGACTGGATAGACACGTGACTCAGCAGGTGATCCCTGATGACCTGGGGGAAGGAGAGAGACGGTATAATGTCAACAATACAAGGTGGGATAACAGACCGATATGTCTTTAGATGTCTTAGCCACTACATTGCAATAGGTGTACTCGAGTTCAATGAATTTGATTGAGCTATGTCAATCTATATATTTTACGGTCGCCATTAGCCAAAAACACATGCCCAATCACTCAGGAAAAGTGGAGCAAACCAAACTGACCTGGAAGTCCTTGGTGAGGACTTTGTTACAGACAGCACACTGCAACTCCCCGCTGTGCCCCTGGGTGGCGTTGTGGAGCTGACTGGGGAGGGTGTACCTGGCTGCAGCTTGGCGCCGGTGGCGTACCAGCTTGGCTGGGCTGTTGAACTGGAGATGACACATGTCACAAGAGAACACTACATGGGACAGGGCGTGGGTGATGCTTGCCCCACGGTCTCCAGGGAAAGATGCCCCACACACCCTGCAGGCCCCTGTCTCAGAGAGGTGGGTTTCTGCGTGGGCCCTCAGGGAAGCAGAGTCTGCTAACAGTGCCATCCCACAGGCTTTACATGCCACCATACCCTGCACCGACGACACCTGGCCAGTGTTCACTCCCCCTCCGCTGACCGCTGCTCCGTTCTCCACACACACCAAGTCCTCGTCTTCATCCTCCTCCTCGTCTTCCTCCTCCATGTAGTTCTCGCCATCGCTCAACTCGATGATCTCTCCAGCCAGCTGTCTCCACTGGTCCCCTCCTCCATCAGTCCCTTCTTCATCTCCCTGCAGATGCTCTCTCTCTTCCTCATTATCTTCATCTTCATCCTCCTCCCCCCCGAAGATGACCCCTGCCACACCTGCGTGGCCAGAGCTCACCCCTCCCACTCCCATCTGCAGGCTGTCCAGGGGGTCTCCAGAAGAGGACGAGGGGGCCTCCCTCACCCCACAGATATCCCCTCCCAGCTGGGCTGACGAGTCGGGGAAGGAGCAGGAGTCAGACACAAATGGAGGTACAGAACCAGCTCTACTCCCACTAACTACCATCTGTTCCTCCTCACCGTTACCAACCCCATCTCCCACCACCACCTCCTCAGTCTTCAGCTGCAGTGGAAGGGGAGGTCCAGGTGTGGCCCCCACAGCTACAGTGGACATGTCTACTGAACTCTGCTGATCTCCAGTCAGCTGTAGCCGTTTGTCTTCGGCCATCTGTCCATAGCCCAGGTGAGACTGGACGTCCTCTGCTTTAAGGGACAAAGACAGGGACAGAGGGGCTGTGTGTCCACCACCCCGGCCCAGCCTGGCCACCCTGCTGCCCTGGGGGAGAGGTGAGGGGGCCGCCGCTGGAGTAGGAGCAGCCGAGGGACCAGCAGATGATGACAGGGAGGAACAAGACGCTGCAGAGGACGAGCACACTGATGACCCAGCAGCAGCAGCCATGTCAGGGTCCAGGTCTCCATCCGCCACACAATCTGCAGAGCCCGGCTGCTGCAGGTCAGGGAAGGTGGCGTGACAGGCCCTCACCAGCTCTCTCACCCCCAGCCTCTCTGCCAGCTCATACAGCACTCCTAAATCTATCAGGTCTGTGAATATCTCTCCAGTGTAGATGAAAGTCAGCACCTTCTCAAAGTTGGCCTGGGACACAAAGTCCAGAGAGTACGTTGTCGTGGCTCCGGCGGTTCCGATCTGGGTCCCCCTGCCCGAGAACAGGCTGCGGAAGTGGGTCCCGGCGCAGGCGAGCACTGCGCGGTGCGCTGCGAAGGAGCGGCCCCCCACCTGGAGGATGACATCACAGAAGAGACGGGAGAGACGGCAGTGGTTGAGCTCAGCGAGGAGGCCAGCGGCGTGGCCTGAGCCCTGCAGCCGAATCCTCATCCCTCCTTGGCGGTGTTACTCACAGCCCAACTAGTAGAAGAGACAAGGGGAAGCCATCAGCGTCATTGTCTAGCCTAAATCAGTCCGCAATAACAGAATCCAGTATCAAGCGCCATTGATTGATTGTGAGATTAAGGGGAGTGCAACTTTGTCGCGCCCATGCTCGTAAAAGAAATAGATAATATTACTTATTGAACTAACAGGTAGTTATTAGAGCTCGAATACATCAAAAACACAACAAACATTGTAACGTTTCAAGTTTCACTGAATGCTAGTTTGTTAGGCTAGCTAGCCAGCTAACGTAGCTAGCTTCACATCAGTTTGCCATGATCCAATTCCAAACTCTACAAAATGGAAAACTCTAAACACCTTTCTACAAGGATAGACAAAGTCGTTCATATGGCAAATCATGTTGATATTATATTCTTTACCAATAGAAGGCAGTATTTTCGACCATTTAGTCAACGTTTTCGCTAGCCTCCTATTTTATGTCAGTCGTCGCACAGCAATGACGTAGAACAAAATAACGCCTGGAAGGCTGCTTGAATGCCAGAGATTTGGCACTATTGACCCCCAGCGGTTGGATGACAGTGGCACACAGGCGCCAGTGGGCCACATAAACAAACTTTTACTTTTGAAGATATTTTATTTAATTTACTTACAGTTCATAAACGTTTCAAAAAGAAACAGTGAGAAAAATAGATGACAAATAGATACATTGTAACAAATAACAAACAGAAAATGGTTGAAATTATACAGTCAGATAAAAGCATATGGTCTATTGATAAAGTACTCTGAAAATCATAGAAAACAATTGCAGTCTAATTTTTGAATTGCAAGTTTTACCCTGCATGGCTACAAACAAGCTTTAGATGTTCATACAGACAGACTTACATAAAAGTACAGTATATATTACAAAATCAATATATCGATCACCGTATGTCAGTATGAGTTCTCAATATTGTAGAACAGGCAAATGTATAATCTAAATATATATAAATAGTTTATTACAGATTCAACCCACATATTTTCTAATTTGTTTGTATTTGTAAACAGACAACCATTGACAATTTCAGCAATATGTTTGCCTTTAATAAATGGAATGAATATTGCTTTTTTAGTTGTTTGATATGTTCTCTTTCTGTGCTTTACTTTTGTTCGTGGAGTACTTTCTCTATATTCTTGTTGCCTTTCTCACTTTCAAAACCACATCCATAGAAGCTTTTTTCACCAGCCTTTGTGTGCTACATTGGCCGTTAAAGCTACGAAACCCTCTTCCTGGAATTGGTACGACCCAGGCTGCTGAGGCTGGCAGTGCTAGGTCTACGGGAGAGACCAAGTGTGGTTGAAGTGGGGGAGACCTCGTTAGGGCAGCCATGTTGCAGGAGGATGTCAGCACACTCTTTGCTCCCAGTTTTTCTAGCCATGGTCAGGGCTGTCCGGCCCTGAGGATCCCTGGCCTTCACATCACTTCCATACTGCAGGGAGAGAGAGATTGAACAATTCACCATTTACATTCTGTATAAAATTACCAAGAAATATAATAATTGAGAATAGGTGAATGAATGAATGAATTATTTTCATGTGACGCCACTTGACTTGGGCTAAAGGCTAACAAAGTGTGTCCAGTGCTTGGGAAAGATCATCATCAGCAAATAATTTGTCCAGACCAGGGCCTTACCCAGACTAGCAGCTGTGTCATGACCACATCGCCCAGCTGACAGGCAGCGTGCAGGGCGGTGTGAGGCTGTGTCTGTGAGGGTGCTCCTCCATTGGCCAGGGCAGTGTTGATCTGTTCCTTGTTGCTGTGGGCCAGGAGCAGTAGGAGCCTGCGCAAATCCCTCTCTGTCACCGCGGACAGCAGACACACAGACATGGCAGTGTCCCCTGGGCCTGTGGGGCTTGGAGCAGGCAGGGGTGCCACAAACACGCGCTGCTCGTATTTGGCACGGATCCATGATTCTCTCTCCTCTCTGTGAGAGAGACACAAACACAGATAAGTGACCATGAGTTACCATGGCAACTGTTCATGGATCAAGATAGAGATCTCTGTGGCAACATACAGTATCTTCCATTTGATGTACTGCAACACATTCTTGGATTCAACCATTTAAATGTTATTCTAGTCAAATAATGGTGTTCATTGGACAAAAAGATTGGCTTTTCTTTTGAACTCTCACAAAACAGGTGAACATTAATAAAGCATCCAGATGTTCCCCATCTATTATACTGAACCAGGACCCTCACCGTGTGGCGTTGGGTGTGGGTTTGTGTCTGCCCTGGGTGTAGCATTCCCAGATGCTATTGGCCAGGTGGTTGCCGATGGCAGTCAGGACCTGTGTCAGCTCCCTGGGCCAGTCATCCAGGTCCAGAGAGCGGACGCGGGACAGGTGTGTCCCCAGATTACGGTGGATCCCTGAGCACTCGATGCAAATCAACGCCCCCAGGTTGAGGCTGGCCCACGTGGGGTCTGGAGAGGACATCCAAACCAGAGCAGATGGATTGAGATATAGTGATTGAGATTGAGAGTAAGGGATTGAGATTGAGAGTAAGGGATTGAGATTGAGAGTAAGGGATTGAGATTGAGCGTAAGGGATTGAGATTGAGAGTAAGGGATTGAGATTGAGAGTAAGGGATTGAGCTTGAGAGTAAGGGATTGCGATTGAGATAGAGTGTTTGAGATTGAGAGTAAGGGATTGAGATTGAGAGTAAGGGATTGAGATTGAGATAGAGTGTTTGAGATTGAGAGTAAGGGATTGAGATTGAGAGTAAGGGATTGAGATTGAGATAGAGTGTTTGAGATTGAGAGTAAGGGATTGAGATTGAGAGTAAGGGATTGAGATTCAGAGTAAGGGATTGAGATTGAGATAGTGTTTGAGATTGAGAGTAAGGGATTGAGATTGAGAGTAAGGGATTGAGATTGAGATAGTGTTTGAGATTGAGAGTAAGGGATTGAGATTGAGAGTAAGGGATTGAGATTGAGATAGAGTGTTTGAGATTGAGAGTAAGGGATTGAGATTGAGATAGAGTGTTTGAGATTGAGAGTAAGGGATTGAGATTGAGGGTAAGGGATTGAGATTGAGTAAAAGAAAGGCTGCTTCTAATGTAATCAACCATTTTGCACTAATGACTCCTTTTTCATTACTACTTTCCTTTCATGGAATGAATGGCTGCATCTGGTAGATAGTAGAATAATGAACACTCTTTGCACATGCATGGACATGGAAAATAATACGTTTTGAACTAGAGAGAGAGAGATAGATAAAGAGAGTGAGAGAGGAGGTAAAGTCTAGAAACCCACTTGGTGCTTCACAGTCTACACAGAAGCTGTTGCCCTTGGCATTGCGGATGGCCTGTATTGCTACCGCCTCACTCTGGCTGCTCCTCCGTGCCTATGAAAGATCACATAGTTGAAATTTTCCAAGTATGAAGTGGATGTGCATTGTGACTGAATACGTCTCTAAGGAATCAGCAACTTGGACCGCAACGCCTGTCAATACATAGCCAAACAGCATAATCTTCACTAGCATAATCTTCACTCCCCAGAAGGGTCCCACGGGGAACATATATACATTTTATATACTATAAAACATTCAGAACTATTTCTACTATTTACATTTAGATAGTCTATTATAAGAAATCAACATTTAATACTATTGTTAAACATGACATATTTCCACACATCGCAGGGTGCTGCCTAGTCAGTTCCGTGCCTTGTTCCTGAGGCTCTCACAGGACTGCAGGCTCGCCAGTATCTGGCTCTCTATGGCCGTCACCCAGGCATCTCTGTCCTCCAGATTCTGGGCCTCAAAGTGCCACATCTGCCCCGTGCTGGACACGATGATGAAGCCAGTATTCTCCTCATCTACAAAGACACGTTGGCAAGGGAAAATGGGAAAATGTAATATCATTAGCCCGCCCCATTTAGTAAGTGGTCCTCTGTAGCTCAACTGGTAGAGCACGGCGCTTGTAACGCCAAGGTAGTGGGTTCGATCCCCGGGACCACCCATACACAAAAATGTATGCACGCATGACTGTAAGTCGCTTTGGATAAAAGCGTCTGCTAAATGGCATATTATTATATTATTATTATAAGTGCAAATACTGTTTAACACTTCTTTAATGTACATACACGACAAGTACATGTAACCAACATAAACACAGACTCACTTCATCACCATGAGATGTTTGCTGATCATAAAACAAGAGGACAGTGAGCAGGCAGACATTGTGCATGATGCAAAAAGTTGGAAAAGGGTGATTGAGAGAAAGAAAGTTAGTAAAGAAAACAAACAACAAACCTTACAAATCACAGGTCAATCCAAATGTGTAATACACTTGTTAGGTGGAGAGACAAACAGACAAACAGGCATAACACACAGGTAGATTCAGTGAGTCAGTCAGCTCCTCACTGTTCCTTGTTGTTACCTGTCTTGTTAATGTTTCTCAAGCTACCAAAGTTTTTTTATTTCCACATTGTGTGCTTGGCTGCAGGGCAACAGATTAGGCCAGATTAGCAGGAGAGGAAGAAGAAGGAAAATAGATTTCTATAAAGAGCACAGAATAATCTGGAAGAGATGCACAGTAAGAGGCCCAGAACTCACCTTCAGCCTGGCCAATGGCTGTGTCGCCTTTCTGGTTCATACTCTTCTTCCTTGTTTTCTTCCTTTTGTCCATCATTGGAGAGGATTGACCATCTTTTCCAAAAGGGGGACTGGTTGCTCCTTCAATAGCATCTGACATTGGGGTTCAAAGATGAATAAAACCCTGTTTGTTATGTTGTGGGAACTTGCAGCTCTGGTACTATCATGCTCCAGAGTCCACATTGGCATACTGTATATTAGAAACGTATTATTATGAATGGAAATGTAACATTTCTGACATACCAGCACTATGTGACTTGCTGGACAGTGTTGACGGACAACGTTTTACCCCTCTATCTCCAGGAGAAGACAATGCACCAGCCTGTTCTTCAACAGGCAACAATGGGGCACTGGCACTCTCCGTGGGTGCAGCATCCTTGGCCACACCATTGAGTTCAGGGGAGGGGCCATTAGGGGGGACAGCCCTTGGTGGGCGTTTCCCTGGAACCTTCACTGTGACACGCAGTAGGTCGATCTCTTTAGCGTGAGAATTCTGCATATAGTCCTGAAACCGCCAAGATCATTTCCGTTAAACTAGGATGATGTGCTGAATTTCACTAGACTAGAAATGAAAAAAATAAAATCAAAATATTGCAATTTTACTGTGTATTACAGTTCTCAACACAGTGGATTCTCGTATCAAAATAGATTTTAAGCTAATTTTATTACATAAAAAAAAGACTAACTAAGATGAGTCCTCTGTAGCTCAGCTGGTAGAGCACGGCGCTTGTAACGCCAAGGTAGTGGGTTCGATCCCCGGGACCACCCATACACAAAAATGTATGCACCCATGACTGTAAGTCGCTTTGGATAAAAGCGTCTGCTAAATGGCATATTATTATTATGAGATCATGTTACTGGTGTTGATCTGGTTGATTGTGGTGTGACTTACATTGAAGCTGGAGTGATAGGCCAGTGTGCCGTTGTTGGACAGAGTGACATATTTCTTCTTCCACTCTTTGTTCAGTGAGCTCCCACTCCGCTTCCATAGGATACTCTGTACAAACAATGGGTTTAATGTCATTCAGTTCCCTTTCATGACTGAAGAACTGGAACTAACCAATTCATTATACACAGTATCCAGTGTGTGTCACACTGACCTGTTTGATAGTGATAGCCCGGCCACTGCCCACGTCACCTTTAGGGTCAACATTCTTTTCACTGCCACTACCACGACGGTTCTGAGAGAAGTTGTATCAACATTATAGAGTTAGAGATGAGTGTGACAGGTATAAAGACAGACTGACACAAGTGTACGGGACAGACGTGACCCATGCAGTGAGAAGAGAGACAACAAAAATCAAACGTACTCTGTTGGAAACTGTGTAACTACTACTGTATCTAAAACTGGACATGTATGTTTAGCTCTGTTTTGAAATCAGTTTGTTTGAATTTGTATTTGTATGTATTAAGGATCCCCATTAGTTCCTGCCAAGGCAGCAGCTACTCTTCCTGGGGTCCAGCAAAATGAAGGCAGTTATACAATTAAAAAAACATTACAATACATTCACAACAGATTTCACAACATATTAAGTGTGTGCCCTCAGGCCTCTACTCTACTACCACATATCTACAACACAAAATCCATGTGTACATGTGTGTATAGTGCGTATGTTATTGTGTGTTTGTATGCATGTGTCTGTGCCTATGTTTGTGTTGCTTCACAGTCCCCGCTCTTTGATTAGGTGTATTTTAATCTGTTTTTTTTATCTAATTTTACTGCTTGCATGAGTTACTTGATGTGGAATATAGTTCTATGTAGTCATGGCTCTATGTAGTACTGTGAGCCTCCCATAGTCTGTTCTGGACTTGGGGACTGTGAAGAGACCTCTGGTGGCATGTCTTGTGGAGTATGCAAGGGTGTCCGAGCTGTGTGCCAGTAGTTCAAACAGACAGCTCTGTGCATTCAACATGTCAATACCTCTTACAAATACAAGTAGTGATGAAGTCAATCTCTCCTCCACTTTGAGCCAGGAGAGATTGACATGCATATTATTAATTTTAGCTCTCTGTGTACATCCAAGGGCCAGCCGTGCTGCCCTGTTCAGAGCCAATTGCAATTTTCCTAAGTCCCTCTTTGTGGCACCTGACCACACGACTGAACAGTAGTCCAGGTGCGACAAAACAAGGGCCTGTAGGACCTGCCTTGTTGATAGTGCTGTTAAGAATGCAGAGCAATGCTTTATTATGGACAGACTTCTCCCCATCCTAGCTACTGTTGTATCAATATGTTTTGACCATGACAGTTTACAATCCAGGGTTACTCCAAGCAGTTTAGTCACCTCAACTTGCTCAACTTGAATTGTATGGCTCTTCGGGACATTGTTTCGCTGATGAAAGACTCCAATCATTTTATCACCTGAGATTCTGAGAACAGTAACTGACCTTGAACAGAGAGGTCCGCCGTTGAGGGACGTTTCTCACAGACCCTGAGGAGGTGACACTTCCGCCCCCCTCTACCGCCACCCCCGCCCCTGCCCCGCCCCGCAGCTCTCTGTGGCTGATCACGGGGGTGGAGGGTAGGGAGGAGGGGTAGCCACTATTCAGTCCTCCATTACTGGTCTGAGAGGGAGAGGGAGGGGAGAACAGGGGGACATACAGGGGGAGTGGCACAAGGAACACAGAGATATGATGGGGTGATGTGGACAAATGAGATGAAAATGAGACAAACGGACAAACAACATGTTCTTCCTCCTGAATACACTTGGTATCTACTAGAATAAATCATACAACAGTGGTTCCCAAACGTTTTGAACCATTCTTTGAATCCATCGATGGCCTTTTTTAAGCCCCTAGATCAGGACTGCCCAACCCTGTTCCTGGAGAGCTACTATCCTGTAGGGTTTTGCTCCAACCCTGTTCCTGGAGAGCTACTATCCTGTAGGGTTTTGCTCCAACCCTGTTCCTGGAGAGCTACTATCCTGTAGGTTTTTGCTCCAACCCTGTTCCTGGAGAGCTACTATCCTGTAGGGTTTTGCTCCAACCCTGTTCCTGGAGAGCTACTATCCTGTAGGGTTTTGCTCCAACCCTGTTCCTGGAGAGCTACTATCCTGTAGGTTTTTGCTCCAACCCTAATCTAGCGCACCTGATTCTAATAATTAGCAGGTTGATATGATGAATCAGGTTAGTAACACCTGGGGTTGGAGCGAAGACCTACAGGAGGGTAGCTCTCCAGGAACAGGGTTGGGCAACCTGCCCTAGATGAACCAAAAACTCCCGCCTTGGGCCAATCAGTGTAATTTTGTAAATGCCAGATCTCAATGGAAAGATGCATAATTCGCCCAAAATTGGGCCAGTGTTGTCTAAGATATCGTGTGGGTTAGCTAGACTCATATTCCTGAGCATGTGTGCCAAATATCATCACTCTGAGTCAAACAGATCTAGAGATATAAACATGTGCCTGTTATAGTGCCATCGTGTGGTCGATATGAATTTTCTTGGATGTTGAATCTTCACAGTGTTTGCAACATGTGAACACATTTTTGTTACAATACGAATAGCCTTGACTGATTTGCATTTATGTGCCAGACCACGCCCTCGTGAATGTTTATTGGTCAATATCGGCCATTATGTTTTAGGTACTAGTCTGGAAAATATTGCGTTGAGAGACCTTTGTCCATAAATGCCACATATCAAGATTTGTGCAGATGAGTCATTCGATGCCAGAAGAGTAGCGTTTTAAGTGTTTTTCTCAAAATTAGAAATGGCGGAAATTCCATAATGCAGGACCTTATGGGTCCCTGAGGCAAATTTGTTCCTTGTGAGGAGAGGGACCTATGTACCGAATTTCAAATGGGGTGAGGGGTGTGACCTTTCAAAGTTTGCATTTTCAATATTTTGTTATTTACATTTACATTTTAGTCATTTAGCAGACGCTCTTATCCAAAGCGACTTACAGGAGCAATTAGGGTTAAGTGCCTTGCTCAAGGGCACATCGACAGATTTTTCACCTAGTCGGCTCAGGGATTAGAACCAGCGACCTTTCGGTTACTGGCACAACGCTCTTAACCACTAAGCTACCTGCCGCCCCCATCTGGTCAATCAGTGTAATTGTGTAAATGCCAGATCTCTATGCCAAACGCATAATTCACCAAAGTTTCTTCAAAATCGGGCCAGGGCTATCTGAGATATCATACTAATGTACAGAGACATATCCACAGTCCCCTCCCCGATTTCATTGTGGGGGACAACAATGTATCTAGTCACAGCTCAAGGTTAAGGCTTATAGGAGGAGCTTCAGTACTGTAGCTGGTATCCACCTGTGGGTCCCACTACACTACAGTATTGATTTTCTGTCAACAACACAGAAGAGATAAGCCTGGGAAAAAGACAGATGTGAACAGTGTGTAGCGTGTTACCTGTCCAGGGAAGGATGTTGACCCCGATGTGGAGCCCCCAGAGTGACTGGGAGAGTTAGGGAGAGACTTGCAGGAGGCCAGGAATGCAGACTGTTTCTTCTGTGTGACTATTTTCTGGGCAGCTGAGAGGAGAGAGTAAGACAGCACTAATGAGATGGCACTAATCACTCATTACTTCAGGATGTGAATTGTATGTGTTAGGTAAGTAAGTACAGCCATGCATCTCTGGTCAAACAACATAGACTTGTGATATAATCCTTCATGTAGAATGACATTGCTTTTAAATTATTTGTGAAGCATTGTTGTAAAGTGGGACCGAAATTATTTATTGTGTTGAAACAATGGTAATGTGGCTGTACTTTTGGATCCCCAGCTCTGACACCAATGCTCAATTTCAGTTGACTCACCCTCCTGAAACACCCGGTCTATGTTGAGCCCATAGGTGGCACACGTCTCATAGAACACACAGTGCCTCACGTCAACACATAGCTGCCGGGCACGCATGTCCTCGATCACACGTGGGTTGGTACTGCTGATTTTGTCTATAGGAAGAGGACGGCGGAGACCGTGGGGCTTCAGACATTGAGATGAAGTCATATAGGCTACAGTAGCTTATACAGTATATGCTCACTTTCCTCCGTCTAATTATATAAAATAAGACTAATGGTTCTCTAGATGCTATCCATCTGCCCTCTTACATTTCCCTGAACATATCCAAAATAGCCATCCATATTCATTCCTGCCTGTTCCTTACCTTGTGTCCCAACCACAACCAGTGGGATGTCAGCAGTGCTGCGGTGTGTGTTGAGCTGGCTGTACAGCTGGTACACGTCCTGGAAGCTGGCCTCATTCTCCAGACTGAACACGAGGACCACTGCATCTACCCAGCTGCTGAACTACAGACAGAGATTTGGTAGGAGAGGGAAGAGAGGTGAGAGGGAGAGGAGTACAAGATGGGTCAGGATAAGGATGTTGATGAGTTAGTTAGATTGTAATTCTGTAATTATTTCTCAACACATCATCGCACATGAACAACAATGCAACAAGGTATACACACACTCCAGCAAATACACTTGTACATTTCCACACACCTGTGCATCAGGACTCCCTGCCTCCTCTCTGATTAGCAGTAGATGACTCTGTCCATCTACCAATACCTCCTTCTTATACCTCCCCCCTGACAATGGAACAGCAGAGCAGAGGTTAGTTACTGTGTGTCAGAGAGCCATTATGAAAGATAAAATGGTAGGACAAGAAAAGTGTTTTGTTATACTTACCTTCAATCTTCTCTAGTGGAAGGTAACTGCCTGTTATGTATCTGTTTACCAGCGCTGACCTGCCACTCTGAAGACTTCCCAGCACACCCTGCACAGATTAAAGAAGTTAGAAAACACACACATAGCCTACTGTACACACACACATCTTCACTCATATGTGGTAGCTTCCCCGAATAGAGTGTGAAAAGAGATTAAGCTCTATCTAACTTCTCTTTCAATTAATCTTTAATGAGGATGCTTTGTCTTACCACACGGAGCTCAGGGATGGATCGACTCAGGGTCCACTCTTGACTATTTGCACAAGCCGCTGCATGGGAGAACGGGACAGAGGGAGAGATCATAATTTTGATAATTCAAGGGGAACAACAATCAGAACGGCCTTGGAAAGGAATAGCGATAAATTACTGCTATGTGAATTGGCTGTGTGGCAGCCAGGCACTCTTGATCAAAGTAACCTTCACTACAACATAAATGGGTCTACTGGACTAGGCTAGTTTGTCAATGCACTGTTTATCCTCTGTACCCCCAAGAGGCTTGCCATACATATTTTTTGTCGTTCTCCTAGAATTCCCTTTACATGCTGAAGCTGGCATTCAAAGGCAGCTGCTCTGCAAAGGATCAAAGTGTCTAAAGGTGTCCAATGCAATGTGACGCTCATACCCCCACACCCCCAGACGCTCTGTGTCCTCTGTTCACAGCTGTGGTTCAGTGATGAGAGGGACCGCAGGCAGCTGAGTGACTCTGTGTGTTGCTGTGGTGGGTTCCAAGGTCCAGGGCCAGCAGTCTACTACTCAGTGATGTCAGTTCCTCACAGATGCAGTGTGAAAACACAACAGGGCCAGCAGTCTACTACTCAGTGATGTCAGTTCCTCACAGACGCAGTGTGAAAACACATCAGGGCCAGCAGTCTACTACTCAGTGATGTCAGTTCCTCACAGACGCAGTGTGAAAACACAACAGGGCCAGCAGTCTACTACTCAGTGATGTCAGTTCCTCACAGATGCAGTGTGAAAACACATCAGGGCCAGCAGTCTACTACTCAGTGATGTCAGTTCCTCACAGACGCAGTGTGAAAACACAACAGGGCCAGCAGTCTACTACTCAGTGATGTCAGTTCCTCACAGACGCAGTGTGAAAACACAACAGGGCCAGCAGTCTACTACTCAGTGATGTCAGTTCCTCACAGACGCAGTGTGAAAACACAACAGGGCCAGCAGTCTACTACTCAGTGATGTCAGTTCCTCACAGACGCAGTGTGAAAACACATCAGGGCCAGCAGTCTACTACTCAGTGATGTCAGTTCCTCACAGATGCAGTGTGAAAACACATCAGGGCCAGCAGTCTACTACTCAGTGATGTCAGTTCCTCACAGACGCAGTGTGAAAACACAACAGGGCCAGCAGTCTACTACTCAGTGATGTCAGTTCCTCACAGATGCAGTGTGAAAACACAACAGGGCCAGCAGTCTACTACTCAGTGATGTCAGTTCCTCACAGACGCAGTGTGAAAACACATCAGGGCCAGCAGTCTACTACTCAGTGATGTCAGTTCCTCACAGACGCAGTGTGAAAACACAACAGGGCCAGCAGTCTACTACTCAGTGATGTCAGTTCCTCACAGACGCAGTGTGAAAACACAACAGGGCCAGCAGTCTACTACTCAGTGATGTCAGTTCCTCACAGACGCAGTGTGAAAACACAACAGGGCCAGCAGTCTACTACTCAGTGATGTCAGTTCCTCACAGATGCAGTGTGAAAACACATCAGGGCCAGCAGTCTACTACTCAGTGATGTCAGTTCCTCACAGACGCAGTGTGAAAACACAACAGGGCCAGCAGTCTACTACTCAGTGATGTCAGTTCCTCACAGATGCAGTGTGAAAACACAACAGATGTCACGGAATCAGCCGAGGATGCTCCTCCTCCTTGCTCGGGCAGGCTTCGGCGTTCGTCGTCCACCGATCTATGTTTCGGTGTTTGACTTGTTTTGTCCTGATTGTGTACACCTGTTCCCCATTATGTTGTATTGTATTCCCTATTTAACCCTCTGTCGTTCATTGTGTGTTGTGTGTTATTGTATTTCGTCATCGGCAGTGTTTCGTGTGCGTGTTGTTTATCCTCCTTATGTGGAGATTGGTTACTTTTGAGTAAAGTACGTTTCCAGTAAGCTCTGTGTCCTGCGTTTGACTTCGCCTACCGCATTTCACCGTCGCATTCTGACAGAATAACACACCTTCATGGAGTCAGCAGGATCGGCGGTGCCAAGTGGATCACTGGAGGAGCGCGTAATCCACCAAGAGGCCATGATCCAGCACCTGGGCACCACCATGCAAGGGTTGATGGACACCTAGAGGCGATGGGAGAGTGGAGGTTTGCCCACACCTCCTCCTACGATACCACCACCATCAGCCATACCCATCGTTCCATCTCCGGAGTCCAGTGGGATTCGTCTCTCGCTCCCGAGGGCTTATGATGGCACCGCGGCCGGGTGTCAGGGTTTTCTACTCCAGGTTGAACTCTACCTAGCAACCATTCACCCGGCGCCCTCGGGATACGAGAGCGTGTCCGCCCTCATCTCCTGTCTGTCCGGCAAGGCGCTGGAGTGGGCCAACGCCGAATGGGGTGGGATAGACGCCGCTACGGTCAGCTATGCGGAGTTCACCCGACGCTTCCGGGCAGTATTCGATCATCCCCCTTAGACAGGGGAGGAGGAGCGCGCAGGAGTTCGCGCTGGACTTCCGGACGCTAGCTGCCAACACGGGATGGAATGAGAGGGCCCTCATCGACCACTACAGATGCAGCCTGAGGGAGGATGTGCGTCGGGAATTGGCCTGCAGGGACACCAACCTCAGCTTTGATCAACTGGTGGACATGTCGATTCGCCTGGATACCCTGTTGGCTACCCGCGGACGTCCGGATTCGGGGCCGTCCATTCCATCCCCCAGCACTTCCGAGCCGACCCCTATGGAGCTCGGGGGTGCTGGTGCTAGGGAGACCAGGAGGGAGACCAGGAGGGAGGCCGTCCCCTGCACCAACTGTGGCAGCAGAGGACACACTGCTGGTCGGTGCTGGGGAGGGTCTCCTAGGAATCAAGGCAGTGGGCGACGCACTGATGAGTCATTCCAGGTGAGTAGGCACCCAACTCACCCAGAGCTCTCTGCTGATCATATGTGTATTAAAGTGGTGTTTCCCAAGGTTTCTCCTCACTCCCAGCATAAGGCGCTAGTAGATTCAGGCGCAGCTGGGAATTTTATCGATCGCCAGTTCACCTATACGTTAGGGATTCCTATCGTACCTGTTGATGTGCCCTTCCCCATTCATGCCCTAGATAGCCGCCCGTTGGGGTCAGGATTGATTAGGGAGGTCACAGCGCCTCTCCAGATGAAAACGCAGGAGGGTCATGAGGAGATAGTACGTTTGTATTTGATTGATTCTCCTGCGTTTCCCGTGGTTTTGGGGCTTCCCTGGTTAACAGCTCATGACCCCAACATTTCATGGCAGCAGAGAACTCTCCAGGGATGGTCTGATCAGTGTACTGGGCGGTGTGTATGCGTTTCCGTAGGGCAACGACGGTGGAAAGCCCGAACCAAGTTCCCACCTTGCACATTCCAACTGAGTATGCCGATTTGGCTATCGCCTTCAGTAAGAAGAAGGCGACTCAATTACCACCTCATCGACAGGGGGATTGTGCGATAGACCTCCAGGTAGGCGCTGCGCTTCCACGTAGTCACGTTTATCCTCTGTCTCAGGAGGAGACGGCCGCTATGGAGAACTACGTCACCGAATCTTTGAGACAGGGGTACATACGGCCGTCTACTTCCCCTGCGTCCTCGAGTTTCTTTTTTGTGAAGAAGAAGGATGGGGGTTTACGCCCGTGTATTGATTACCGTGGTCTAAATCAGATCACCATCAAATACAGCTATCCTCTCCCTCTGATTGCTAGTATGACGGAGTCATTACACGGGGCGCGATTCTTCACAAAATTGGATCTCAGGAGCGTGTACAACCTGGTGCGCATTAGGGAGGGAGATGAGTGGAAGACAACATTCAGTACCACCTTGGGTCACTATGAGTACCTCGTCATGCCATACGGGTTAATGAATGCTCCTTCAGTCTTCCAATCATTTGTGGATGAGATTTTCCGGGACTTGCATGGACAGGGTGTTGTGGTATATATAGATGACATTCTAATATACTCCACTACACGAGCCGAGCATGTGTCCCTGGTGCGTCGAGTGCTTGGTAGACTGTTGGAGCATGACCTGTATGCGAAGGCGGAGAAATGTCTGTTCTTCCAGGAGTCCATCTCCTTCCTGGGACATCGGTTGTCCGCGTCAGGGGTAGAGATGGAGATTGACCGCGTTTCTGCCGTGCGTAATTGGCAGACTCCCACCACGGTAAAGGAGGTGCAGCTCTTCTTGGGTTTTGCCAATTACTACCGGAGGTTTATCCGGGGCTTTGGACAGGTAGCAGCTCCCATTACCTCTCTGCTAAGGGGGGGTCCGGTGCGCCTGCAGTGGTCAGCTGAGGCGTACAGGGCGTTTAAACGTCTGAAGGACCTGTTTACCTCGGCTCCGGTGCTGGCGCATCCGGATCCCTCTTTGGCATTCCAGGTGGAGGTGGACGCTTCCGAGGCTGGGATCGGCGCTGTGCTGTCTCAGCGCTCGGGTACGCCACCTAAACTCCGCCCCTGTGCTTTCTATTCTAAGAAGCTCAGTCCGGCGGTGCGCAATTATGACGTGGGGGATAGGGAGCTGCTGGCTGTGGTTCAAGCCCTGAAAGTGGGGAGACATTGGCTTGAGGGGGCTAAACACCCTTTTCTCATTCTGACTGACCATCGTAACCTGGAGTACATCCGGGCAGCGAGGAGGCTGAATCCTCGCCAGGCAAGGTGGTCAATGTTTCTTTCCCGCTTTGTATTTAAGCTCACCTATAGACCAGGGTCCCAGAACGCTAAGACAGACGCCCTCTCCCGACTATATGACACAGAGGAGAGGTCCATTGAGCCCACTCCCATACTCCCAGAGTCTTGCTTAGTGGCACCGGTGGTGTGGGAGGTGGATGTGGAAATCGAGCGGGCGTTACGTTCCGACCCTACTCCTCCACAGTGTCCGGAGGGTCGGAGGTACGTGCCGCTCGAGGTTCGCGACCGTTTGATATACTGGGCTCACACGTCACCCTCCTCTGGTCATCCGGGTATTGGTCGGACAGTGCACTGCCTTAGTGAGAAGTACTGGTGGCCAACCTTAGCTAAGGACGTGAGGGTTTATGTTTCCTCCTGCTCGGTGTGCGCCCAGTGTAAGGCACCTAGACACCTGCCCAGGGGGAAGTTACAACCCCTACCCGTTCCACAACGGCCGTGGTCTCACCTATTGGTGGATTTTGTCACAGACCTTCCTCCCTCCCAGGGGAACACTACGATCTTGGTCGTTGTGGATTGGTTTTCTAAAGCCTGCCGTCTCATTCCCCTGCCAGGTCTCCCTACTGCCCTACAAACTGCTGAGGCCCTGTTTACACACGTCTTCCGGCACTATGGGGTGCCTGAGGATATAGTGTCTGATCGGGGTCCCCAGTTCACCTCTAGAGTCTGGAGGGCATTTATGGAACGTCTGGGGGTCTCGATTAGCCTTACCTCAGGTTTTCACCCCGAGAGTAATGGGCAGGTGGAGAGAGTTAACCAGGATGTGGGTAGGTTTCTGAGGTCATATTGCCAGGACCGGCAAGAGGAGTGGTCGGGATATATTCCCTGGGCTGAGATAGCCCAAAACTCCCTCCGCCATTCGTCCACTAACCTTACGCCTTTCCAGTGTGTGTTAGGTTATCAGCCGGTTCTGGCACCTTGGCATCAGAGCCAGACCGAAGCCCCTGTGGTGGACGAGTGGTTTCGGCGCTCGGAAGAAACTTGGAACGCTGCGCATGTCCATCTGCAGCGGGCCATCAGGCGGCAAAAGGCGAGCGCCGATCGCCACCGCAGTGAGGCTCCGGTGTATGCACCGGAAAACCGGGTCTGGCTCTCGACCCGAAACCTGCCCCTTCGCCTGCCCTGCCGGAAGCTGGGTCGGCGGTTTGTGGGGCCCTTTAAAGTCCTGAGGAGATTGAACGAGGTATGTTATAGGTTACAACTGCCCATTAATTACCACATTAACCCCTCATTCCATGTGTCTCTCCTCAGGCCGGTGGTGGCTGGTCCACTCCAGGAGAGTGAGGTACGAGAGGCTCCTCCGCCCCCGTTGGACATCGAGGGGGCTCCAGCGTATTCAGTCCGTTCCATCTTGGATTCGAGGCGTCGGACGGGGGGCCTGCAGTATCTCGTGGAGTGCGAGGGGTACGGTCCGGAGGAACGGTGCTGGGTCCCCAGGAGGGACATTCTAGATCCCTCCATGTTGAGGGACTTCCACCGGAGTCATCCGACTCGCCCTGCTCCGCGTCCTCCTGGCCGTCCCCGAGGCCGGGGTCGGCGCACGGCTGGAGCCGCGGGTCAAGAGGGGGGTACTGTCACGGAATCAGCCGAGGATGCTCCTCCTCCTTGCTCGGGCAGGCTTCGGCGTTCGTCGTCCCCGGAGTACTAGCTGCCACCGATCTATGTTTCGGTGTTTGACTTGTTTTGTCCTGATTGTGTACACCTGTTCCCCATTATGTTGTATTGTATTCCCTATTTAACCCTCTGTCGTTCATTGTGTGTTGTGTGTTATTGTATTTCGTCATCGGCAGTGTTTCGTGTGCGGGTTGTTTATCGTCCTTATGTGGAGATTGTTTTTTCTACTCTGGTTACTTTCGAGTAAAGTACGTTTCCAGTAAGCTCTGTGTCCTGCGTTTGACTTCGCCTACCGCATTTCACTGTCGCATTCTGACAACAGACAAAGAGAGGGATGACAATAGTGTATTTTAGGCCACACGAGACAAGTTGCCAAAGCAATCAGACAGCATGATCCTTATACAGCTGCCTACAAAACACCCAGTATAAAGCTGAATATCCAGACTCTCTCCCTGCACTGGATGAAGACATACTAATGTAGTGCAACTGTTAAATGTCACTGACATTCAAAGAACCCTTCTTCTCTTCCTGGGAATATCAGAAGAGTCTCTCTCTCTCTCTCTCTCTCTCTCTCTCTCTCTCTCTCTCTCTCTCTCTCTCTCTCTCATAACAGGCATCTCTCCTAGCACCCCCATGTTGCTATGGCAACCTTTCCTCCAGACCCTGCTAGGCTGATTCTGCTCTTGCCCAGAGAGAACACATACCATAGATGACTAGACACAGAACACATACCATACATGACTACACACAGAACATATACCATACATGACTAGACACAGAACACATACCATACATGACTAGACACAGAACACATACCATACATGACTAGACACAGAACACATACCATACATGACTAGACACAGAACACATACCATACATGACTAGACACAGAACACATACCATACATGACTAGACACAGAACACATACCAGTGAAACAGCTTGTCACTACCCTCTACAGACATCATTCATGTTTCCATGGTATTGTTCTTGAAATACATTGGTATGTGCCAGAGGCAGATTAAACTACAAAGGCTTCTGAAGTTTGATTAACTTCTCCAAAAAAGGCCATATTTATTATTTATAGAGCTTAGAATGTCAGACTGATGGTTGGTGATGTGAAATGCAGGGAAGAGAGAGAAATAGGTAGAGAGAGAGAGAGAGAGAGAGAGAGAGAGAGAGAGAGAGAGACATGTGCCAGAGATATTTGTGGAGGAATAGTCAATCACTGAGCAGGCGAAACATAAAATATATGGATTAAGGACATTGGCTGTAATTGCACTTCCTTTCTCTGGAAGGTTTTGGAGACAGAAATAAGACCAAGCACCAGCCAACCAATACATCAAATCGCAGATAGTCATGCTGGCACAGCCTGTGCTTTAACCAATGCAGTATACAGTATATCCATAATATATAGCTCTGGCTTTAACCATTAGGATCATTATGAGAGTTAAACACAGTGTCTATGTCCCAATGGCACCCTATTCCCTATATAGTGCACTACTTTTGACCAGAGCCCAAAGGGCCCTGGTCTAAAGTAGTGCACTAAATAGGGAAAAGGGTGTATTTTGGGACAAACACAGTGTAGCTACACTGTAGAGAGATTAACCCTTCAGGCTGCGTGAAATCACCCCCCGTTCCGTTCAGAAGGGAATTAGATGAAACTGTCCAGGAGTATAGCTCTATTGTCAGCTCAGAGATCAAAGGACTTTGTCTATCATCCTTTTACAGTTACACATGGCTTTAAGTTTCAAACTCACAGACACGTCACATCCATTTGATAATGGGCTCTATATAAAATGTATGCGAGGCTCTCAGAATGGCAAATTATTTCCCCTCCATTTTAAATGATTTCCTCTACATACGGATCAAATACTAGACTAGTCTATAATAAAATGGATGCTCGTTTGATTCCTTCCTGAATTTTCTGTTACATGTTGGCCAAAAAACTGCAAACAGACAGTTGCTCTTGATCTTCATGTAACGTATTTCAACCAAGAGCATTAGAGGAAGTGAGGTTTGTGAGGTGATATGTAGACCTATGCTGTGTGTGTGTGTCTGAGGTGTCCTACCTTCCTCCTCACTGGACTGTCTGTGTATATTGCAGACAGGGGAAAGTGTTGCTGTATTAGAGGAAGTGGTGGCTGAGACAGAGACTGGGTTGCTGCTTTTGGTGAAGATCCCACTGATGAACTTGAGCATCTTATGATCTCGAGCAGAGCCCTTTTGTCCCTGCTGGTTGTGGGAACTAGGCTGTATCTGGCTGCGCTCTCTGGCCACACAGAGGTCCTCTGCCTGGCTGTAAGGATCAGTGTTATCCACGGTACAGCTGTTGCCTCTGCGTGGGGGCTTGGGGACCAGGGTGACAGATGCAGGTAGAGAAGCAGAATTTTTCTTCAATCTCTTCATCCTGGGATTGTCTCGCTTTGCAACCGTTCCTCCTTTTCCCTTCTGTGTACCAGCTCTGTCCCCAGCTTCATCAGTTCCTCTTTCTCCCTTCCCTGCTCTGTCCCCAGTTTCAACCCTACCTCCATGACCCTGAGATCTGGCCCGACCCTCACCACTCTCAGCCCAGGAGGCTCGACAGGGACCAGGGGAATGGGTTGGGATTCTGCTGTCTCTGCGGTCCAGGCTCTGGGCTGGTGTGGGGCTTCGGTTGACTTCCTTGACATCCCTTGGCTCCCAGCAGCTGGTCACCGGGCTGGCCAATGGGCTGTATGCTTTCAGCAGGGACCCCGGACCCTGACCCACCGTGCGTACAGGGATATTGCTCCTGGTCGGGGTGTGGTTGGGGTCGACTGCTACCTCCACAGGGGTCGAGGTCTGTGGTGTAGTTTTGAGGTGACTGTTGTTGTCTGGTTGTCCTCTTTCTCACCTGCTGCATCCTTTCCACCCGGTAACATTTCAGTCTTCACATTGTCAACAGTGGAGGAGGTAATAACATTGTCGCCGTCTGATAACTTGTCACTTTCTTTGGGAAGAACATCGCCCACACACAGTGCCTTGTCTCTCAAGGGTGATTTCCTCTCCTCTACAGTGAGGGAAAAAAGTATTTGATCCCCTGCTGATTTTGTATGTTTGCCCACTGACAAAGACATGATCAGTCTATAATTTTAATGGTAGGTTTATTTGAACAGTGAGAGACAGAATAACAACAACAAAATCCAGAAACATGCATGTCAAAAATGTTATAAATTGATTTGCATTTTAATGAGGGAAATAATTATTTGACCCCTCTGCAAAACATGACTTAGTACTTGGTGGCAAAACCCTTGTTGGCAATCACAGAGGTCAGACGTTTCTTGTAGTTGGCCACCAGGTTTGCACACATCTCAGGAGGGATTTTTTCCCACTCCTCTTTGCAGATCTTCTCCAAGTCATTAAGGTTTCAAGGCTGACGTTTGGCAACTCAAACCTTCAGCTCCCTCCACAGATTTTCTATGGGATTAAGGTCTGGAGACTGGCTAGGCCACTCCAGGACCTTAATGTGCTTCTTCTTGAGCCACTCCTTTGTTGCCTTGGCCGTGTGTTTTGGGTCATTGTCATGCTGGAATACCCATCCACGACCCATTTTCAATGCCCTGGCTGAGGGAAGGAGGTTCTCACCCAAGATTTGACAGTACATGGCCCCGTCCATCGTCCCTTTGATGCGGTGAAGTTGTCCTGTCCCCTTAGCAGAAAAACACACCCAAAGCATAATGTTTCCACCTCCATGTTTGACGGTGGGGATGGTGTTCTTGGGGTCATAGGCAGCATTCCTCCTCCTCCAAACACAGCGAGTTGAGTTGATGGCAAAGAGCTCGATTTTGGTCTCATCTGACCACAACAGTTTCACCCAGTTCTCCTCTGAATCATTCAGATGTTCATTGGCAAACTTCAGACGGGACTGTATATGTGCTTTCTTGAGCAGGGGGACCTTGCGGGTGCTGCAGGATTTCAGTCCTTCACGGCGTAGTGTGTTACCAATTGTTTTCTTCGTGACTATGGTCCCAGCTGCCTTGAGATCATTGACAAGATCCTCCCGTGTAGTTCTGGGCTGATTCCTCACCGTTCTCATGATCATTACAACTCCACGAGATTGACAGATATTTTGTGTTTCTTCCATTTGCGAATAATCGCACCAACTGTTATCACCTTCTCACCAAGCTGCTTGGCGATGGTCTTGTAGACCATTCCAGCCTTGTGTAGGTCTACAATCTTGTCCCTGACATCATTGGAGAGCTCTTTGGTCTTGGCCATGGTGGAGAGTTTGGAATCTGATTGATTGATTGCTTCTGTGGACAGGTGTCTTTTATACAGGTAACAAGCTGAGATTAGGAGCACTCCCTTTAAGAGTGTGCTCCTAATCTCAGCTCGTTACCTGTATAAAAGACACCTGGGAGCCAGAAATCTTTGTGATTGAGAGGGGGTCAAATACTTATTTCCCTCATTAAAATGCAAATCAATTTATAACATTTTTGACATGCGTTTTTCTGGATTTTTGTTTTGTTATTTTGTCTCTTACTGTTCAAATAAACCTACCATTACCATTAAACCATTAAAATTATAGACTGATCATGTCTTTGTCAGTGGGCAAACGTACAAAATCAGCAGGGGATCAAATACTTTTTTCCCTCACTGTAGTTTGAGTTCACTACCTTTCCCACCCTCCAGGACAGAAACATCTTCCTGGTTCTTCTGTGTACTGAGGGTCTGTCCCTTCTCCACCCCAGCCCCATCCCCAGCCTCCCTCCCTTGGGTGATTGACCTGGCCTGCTCCCCTCCAAGCTCTTCCACAGCCTCTACCTTGACCAGGGTGAGGGAGATGAGGTAGGTGGTGCCCTGGTGCAGCGTGTCGGCTCGGTAGACACACCATAGACAAATACATTCAGAAAGAGCTGACACTGACATGGATGGATGACTGACAAGCTTTGAAATCCTAATCCTCAAAAGAATATGGCAGCAGGTGGGAGCAAATTTAGAGAGAGCGCAAGTGAGAGAGAGGGAGCTGAAGAGAGAGAGAGCTGAAGAGAGAGAGAGAGAGAGCTGAAGAGAGAGAGAGCTGAAGAGAGAGAGAGAGAGAGAGAGAGAGAGAGAGAGAGAGAGAGAGCTGAAGAGAGAGAGAGAGAGAGCTGAAGTATTTCCTCAGGGGATTAGAACAGAACTGCTCTCAGATGTATTTATTCCATTACTTCACTCCCCTCTTCATAGCTTTTAGATTTAGGATTCCAGTCATCCATTGTCAGTGTTTCAATAAAACTTCCATTCATTTTATTGCAATGTACAAAAATACCATCTTCTGCCACAAATATCAAAAGAGACTGAAATCCATCCAGTAGAGTTCCAGTTGTGTTTAAACATCCTACGGTAAAAACATCTGTACATGAGTATAAAAAGCAGATGTATAATGTGGTTTCAATTATTCACTTGACCTTATTTGTGTTGTGTTGCCGCTCACCCATCTCCAATAGTGTTCAACTTCATGTCCCATATTCTATGCAAAACGCAAATCAGAAGGAAAAAAATCACATTTCACTGAAACTGTCGATCAAGTGTAAGGAAAATGTGAAGGATTTGAATACTCCCATGTTGAAAAAAAACTATGTACGGTATCAGAAAATATCCTCACAGCAGTACAGTTCAGACCATGGGTTATCCTCTTCAGCCATGTGTTCTGGCAGGAGCATCTACTCAGAGAAAGGTCTGAGTGAGAGACAGACAAGACAGTAATTAGGTTTGATGTGGATCAGGAAGAAAAAGCCACTAGGATCCAATCGCAGGCAGAGATCTGGAGATGCATGACCAAGTCACAGCGCCTGGCCACCATCACGCCTCTCTCTGTCGGTCCCTGTGTCCTCGAAGCATGTCAGGCACTGTGCATGTCAATAGAGCCACTGGTCTGTGAGGCTGAGCCAAGCCTCTGCAATGAACACTAGACGTCTCTGGCTCTGAATCTATCTGCTATTCAGACACAACAGGTACGACATGAGTCCAAAACCCAGTCGCACAGCTGGTACCTGAGAGTATGAATATGGAGAGAGAATCTTCTCAAGCCCTCCTCTAGATCCCCTTCCTGTGTGAGCGCCAAACCAAGCAGAGAAGGAAAACCCTGTTTCTCTTCTATCTCTCTCTCTTTCCCTCTCTGCCTCTCAGCATGCAGACTGCGCACTGTCCCAGCTCTTCATTGCTCCCCCCCCATCACCCTCTCTCCTTCTCTCTCTTGGTCTTGCTCTCGCTAGCTCTCTCTCTCTCCCTGTTGTAAAGGGGGAGGTGATGAGGTGTAAAGGAAAGGACAATTCAATCTGTAAACCATATTACGTAGTAATGAACCCATGTATTGATGTGAAAGCTGAATTGTATTTATACGATAAAAAAAAAAAGATTCTATAAAATAAAGATTCTATAAAATTAATTAAAAAGGGCTGGTGGTAAAGCATAGAGACAAGCTGAAGCTGGAGAAAGAAGGAAAGAGACACCAGAGGAAGAAAGATGAGGGGCAGAGAGAGAGAGAGGACGAGAACATCATGAAAGAGGAAGGAGTTGTGGAGAGGGTAATGAAGAGTGACAGTGGAACAGAACGAGGGTGTGTGGAGAGGAAGAAAAATAGAGACTGACTTCACTTTCTCCTTTCCCTTGTCTGTTCTTCTTACAGTTTTTTACAATCACTTTGGCACTAATTTCAGAACCTTGACGTCATTTTTCAAAACTCCAGACACAAAACTCACAACCAATGATCAAAATGCACATTTTTCAAAACTCTAACACTTTTTTCAATTGCTTGGATACAATACACATAAAACTAAGATCATTTGTTCATTTAACAAAAATCACCTGTTCAATATGACACAACTTAACATCAAAGTACTACTATTTCAAAAGGCAATTCACACATTACATTTCAGATGAGTGTCTATTCATTTCATTACAATTATCCAACTATCAATTGATACAACTGCTCGAAATGATAAGTAACTGTTGCATTACCCATAATGCATAGTTGTATGGAAACAGACAAACAATATTCCATGTTTAGATCATGAAAGTTTCAAGATAACGAGATTCATTGTCACCAATTAGCGTGGAGCATGAACCAATTAGACTACATTATCTATGGATGTAATATTTCATCATCATTCTTTATCAGACACCGTTTCTATGGTTCCATGTACCACCTTTTCAGACTATTTACAGTATTGACAGTACTGCACTGTATGGATGCAGGCCCTTGTAATTGCTTGTCCAATTCTGCCAACTCGTTACTGATGATTGAGTTCACATTCCGGAACGAGTATATAAATTAATTTGCTTTTTAATGAGGGAAATAAGTATTTGACCCCCTCTCAATCAGAAAGATTTCTGGCACCCAGGTGTCTTTTATACAGGTGACGAGCTGAGATTAGGAGCACACTCTTAAAGGGAGTGCTCCTAATCTCAGTTTGTTACCTGTATAAAAGACACCTGTCCACAGAAGCAATCAATCAATCAGATTCCAAACTCTCCACCATGGCCAAGACCAAAGAGCTCTCCAAGGATGTCAGCGACAAGATTGTAGACCTACACAAGGCTGGAATGGGCTACAAGACCATCGGCAAGCAGCATGGTGAGAAGGTGACAACAGTTGGTGCGATTATTCGCAAATGGAAGAAACACAAAAGAACTGTGAATCTCCCTCGGCCTGGGGCTCCATGCAAGATCTCACCTCGTGGAGTTGCAATGATCATGAGAACGGTGAGGAATCAGCCCAGAACTACACAGGAGGATCTTGTCAATGATCTCAAGGCAGCTGGGACCATAGTCACCAAGAAAACAATTGGTAACACACTACGCCGTGAAGGACTGAAATCCTGCAGCGCCCGCAAGGTCCCCCTGCTCAAGAAAGCACATATACATGCCCGTCTGAAGTTTGCCAATGAACATCTGAATGATTCAGAGGAGAACTGGGTGAAAGAGTTGTGGTCAGATGAGACCAAAACCGAGGTCTTTGGCATCAACTCAACTCGCCGTGTTTGGAGGAGGAGGAATGCTGCCTATGACCCCAAGAACACAATCCCCACCGTCAAACATGGAGGTGGAAACATTATGCTTTGGGTGTGTTTTTCTGCTAAGGGGACAGGACAACTTCACCGCATCAAAGGGACGATGGACGGGGCCATGTACCGTCAAATCTTGGGTGAGAACCTCCTTCCCTTAGCTAGGGCATTGAAAATGGGTCGTGGATGGGTATTCCAGCATGACAATGACCCAAAACACACGGCCAAGGCAACAAAGGAGTGGCTCAAGAAGAAGCACATTAAGGTCCTGGAGTGGCCTAGCCAGTCTCCAGACCTTAATCCCATAGAAAATCTGTGGAGGGAGATGAAGGTTCGAGCTGCCAAACGTCAGCCTCGAAACCTTAATGACTTGGAGAAGATCTGCAAAGAGGAGTGGGACAAAGGGTTTTGCCACCAAGTACTAAGTCATGTTTTGCAGAGGGGTCAAATACTTATTTCCCTCATTGAAATGCAAATCAATTTATAACATTTTTGACATGCATTTTCTCACTGTTCAAATAAACCTACCATTAAAATTATAGACTGATCATGTCTTTGTCAGTGGGCAAACGTACAAAATCAGCAGGGGATCAAATACTTTTTTGCCTCACTGTATGTTCAGTTTCAAGATGGCTGTTGTAATAAAATTCCCTAATAATTCTACATTGTACAGTAATCAGTAAATCTCTTTCCAAAATGCTTTTTAGAGGGTGATGGAGCTGGATGCTGATGACAACCATCACAAATTCATATATTTGGATGAGGCAGGCTTTAACCTGGCCAAGACAAGGAGGAGAGGTCGGAATTTCATTGGCCAGCGGGCAACCATCCAAGTACCTGGACAACGTGGGGCCAACATTACCATGTGTGCGGCTATATCAGAAGATGGTGTGGTGGGACGCAGACCTCGTATTGGATCATATAATGCAGCTCTCCTTGTAACCTTGATGAGCTCGATCAGGTCTGTAGAGCTGATGGCGTGACCCATGTCATTGTGTGGGATAATGTCAGGTTCCACCATGCTCATATGGTGCAAGCATGGTTTTAGGCCTTGCATAATTTACCACCCTGTATTTACCCCCATACTCTCCTTTCCTTAACCCGATTGAGGAATTTTTCTCCACATGGAGATGGAAGGTTTATGATAGGCCCTCATGAACAAGTTAATCTTCTCCAGGCCATGGATGACGCATGCAATGACATCACGGCAGACCAGTGTCAGGCCTGGATTCGTCATGCCCGAAGGTTTTTTCCAAGATGTTTGGCTAATGAAAACATCCATTGTGATGTAGATGAGAACCTGTGGCCAAATCCACAAGACAGAGTTGATGAAAATGTAGAAGTACAGTAATCACTCCTATGTTTTGCTTTTTACAGTACAAGCAAGCAAGTTGAGGAACACTGCATTTGATGTTTTACAGTACTGTATTGTTTTTCATCAATATATTTCAGATTTTGTTCAATGATTCCACTGTGTCTGTAGTATTCTCTCTACTACTGCAGTACTTTTACAGGGATGTATTTACATGTAGTACCATAATGAAACATGTACAGTGGGGAAAAAAAGTATTTAGTCAGCCACCAATTGTGCAAGTCCTCCCACTTAAAAAGATGAGAGAGGCCTGTAATTTTCATCATATGTACACGTCAACTATGACAGACAAATTGAGGAAAAAAATTCCAGAAAATCACATTGTAGGATTTTTTATGAATTTATTTGCAAATTATGGTGGAAAATAAGTATTTGGTCACCTACAAACAAGCAATATTTCTGGCTCTCACAGACCTGTAACTTCTTCTTTAAGAGGCTCCTCTGTCCTCCACTCGTTACCTGTATTAATGGCACCTGTTTGAACTTGTTATCAGTATAAAAGACACCTGCCCACAAGCTCAAACAGTCACACTCCAAACTCCACTATGGCCAAGACCAAAGAGCTGTCAAAGGACACCAGAAACAAAATTGTAGACCTGCACCAGGCTGGGAAGACTGAATCTGCAATAGGTAAGCAGCTTGGTTTGAAGAAATCAACTGTGGGAGCAATTATTAGGAAATGGAAGGCATACAAGACAACTGATAATCTCCCTCGATCTGGGGCTCCACGAAAGATCTCACCCCGTGGGGTCAAAATGATCACAAGACCGGTGAGCAAAAATCCCAGAACCACACGGGGGGACCTAGTGAATGACCTGCAGAGAGCTGGGACCAAAGTAACAAAGCCTACCATCAGTAACACACTACGCCGCCAGGGACTTAAATCCTGCAGTGCCAGACGTGTCCCCCTGCTTAAGCCAGTACATGTCCAGGCCCGTGCTAGAGTGCATTTGGATGATCCAGAAGAGGATTGGGAGAATGTCATATGGTCAGATGAAACCAAAATATAACTTTTTGGTAAAAACTCAACTCGTCGTGTTTGGAGGACAAAGAATGCTGAGTTGCATCCAAAGAACACCATACCTACTGTGAAGCATGGGGGTGGAAACATCATGCTTTGGGGCTGTTTTTCTGCAAAGGGACCAGGACGACTGATTCGTGTAAAGGAAAGAATGAATGGGGCCATGTATGGTGAGATTTTGAGTGAAAACCTCCTTCCATCAGCAAGGGCATTGAAGATGAAACGTGGCTGGGTCTTTCAGTATGACAATGATCCCAAACACACCGCCCGGGCAACGAAGGAGTGGCTTCGTAGGAAGCATTTCAAGGTCCTGGAATGGCCTAGCCAGTCTCCAGATCTCAACCCCATAGAAAATCTTTGGAGGGAGTTGAAAGTCCGTGTTGCCCAGCGACAGCCCCAAAACATCACTGCTCTAGAGGAGATCTGCATGGAGGAATGGGCCAAAATACCAGCAACAGTGTGTGAAAACCTTGTGAAGACTTACAGAAAACGTTTGACCTGTGTCATTGCCAACAAAGGGTATATAACAAAGTATTGAGAAACTTTTGTTATTGACCAAATACTTATTTTCCACCATAATTTGCAAATAAATTCATTAAAAATCATACAATGTGATTTTCTGGATTTTTTTTCCTCATTTTGTCTGTCATAGTTGACGTGTACCTATGATGAAAATTACAGGCCTCTCTCATCTTTTTAAGTGGGAGAACTTGCACAATTGGTGGCTGACTAAATACTTTTTTTCCCCACTGTATCACCTATTTTGTACTACAATATTTAATGATTGTACGAACAATGACACAGTGAAACTATCGGTTGCTTGTGTGTGGGTGATCTAAATTAACGTTTCATTGGTATTTCACAATACATTTGTTTTTTGAACCAATGATTGTGCAAGTGCAAGATTTCTTTAAAGATATGAATGCACAATGCAATGTTTTGAACATTGGACAGCCTGTGTTACAAGTGATGACCGTTTTGAGTTTTGTGTCTAGCGTTTTGAAAAATGACGTCAAGGTTCTGAAATGAGTGCCAAAGTGATTGTAAAAAACGGTATACCACAGCTGTCTGAAGATCCGTACTCATCAGCTTCCCCATCAGGCTTTACTCAAGATGCTGATCTGGCTTGTTACTAAGGTGCTAGGATCTTCCCAGCTCCAGTGATTGAACAATTGTCCTTGATCCTCTCCTACTCTCTCACCGGAGGATCTCTGTGTGTGTGTGTACGTACGTGTGTGTGCATGTGTACGTGTATGTGTATGTGTGTGTGTATGTGTGTGTGTGTGTGTGTGTGTGTGTGTGTGTGTGTGTGTGTGTGAGTGACGATCCATGTAGCCTTCTATACCACATACAGGATGTGTTCATTAGCGGAGAGGGAGAGAACATAATGGCCATCAATAAAATAATTGCACGTTAAATTCATAAAAATAAAAATAAAATAAAAATGAACAGTTTCTATAATAGACTTATTAATGCCGTTTCATTGAATTTTTGTACATACATTTTATGGGTTTCCTTTGTAAAAACCTGTTGTCTACGGACAGTTTTGTGAGGGTTGTATATGTATAGAATCTTCACATACATTAGATTGACATCTCAGTCTCTCCCTGCTAGCATCCTAAGACACAGCATCTGTCTACCCACCTTTCTCACCCCTTCTCTCCCTCCCTCTAGCCCTCTCAGTCACTGAGGGGGCCATGACCACACTGAATACACAAGATTCTGACAGCGTTTCATCTACAGGGGGGAAACGCAACCTAGAAACAACATGACTACAGTCTCAAACACAGAGGAAGTTAATTAATACGACTGGTAAATCCACCTTGCGGCTAATGCAACATTTTATTTTTGGAGAGCAGGTCAATTTATGTGTAAAAATCCTGCAGTTCATCTAAAACAGGAACTACTGCCACGTGTCCATATAAAATCCTGTTTTCAGTGTTGAATTTCTGTGTATATTTCTGTTCTGTTTCTTGATTAATCTAATGAATCTGATATAGACACCCACAGATTTGAGATGAAGAATCCGGTTGCCCAAGGCAAGAAATATCAGACGTGTGCTCTCTCTCTCTCTCTCTCTCTCTCACTCTCTCTCTCTCTCGCTCTCTCTCTCACTCTCTCTCTCTCTTTGTCTCTCACACACACTCACACATGCACACAGAGAAAGAAAGTGAGTGAGAGAGAGAGAGAGAGAGAGAGAGAGAGAGTCAGATGGACACTGAGGGCAGTGTTCAGGCTGTGATTTTTCATATTATTTCATCTTTGCTGTGAACCATCCCTGGTCCTCTTTAATCGGTTTTCTCTACAGATATCTCCCACCCTCCCCACTCTCTTGGCATGCTGCAGTGAACAGAGCTGCTGTTTGTGACAGATCCCAATTCAAATGGCTTCATTCTGCACTCTGGGAGCATCACTTCTTCTCCCCACTCATCCGACTCACTAGCATTCATTTCCTAACAGAAATGCCCGTCTTTCCACCAGTGTACTCCACACTATGTAAGCGTCCCAAATGGTACCCATCTGAGAGGGACATTCTTTGATCGTGGCTGCCATTGAACTTTTGATAGCCAAAACTTATGAATTACAGTGCCTTCAGAAGGAATTCATATCCCTTGACTCATTTCACATTTTGTTGTGTTACAGCCTGAATTCAAAACGGATTAAATATAATTTTTTCTCACCCATCTACACACAATACCCCATAATGACAAAGTGAAAACGTGTTTTTTGACATTTTTGGCAAATGTATTGAACATTAAATACAGAAATATCTAATTTACATAATTATTCACACCCCTGAGTCAATTAATTTTAGAATCACCATTGGCAGTGATTACAGCTATGAGTCGTTCTGGGTAAGTCTCTAAGAGCTTTGCACACCTGGATTGTACAATATTTGCACATTGTTATTTTTAAAATTCTTCAAGCTCTGTCAAGTTGGTTGTTGATCATTGCTAGACAGCCATTTCAATTCTTTCCATAGATTTACAAGCCGATTTAAGTCAAAACTGTAACTAGGCCACTCAGAAACATTCAATGTCATCTTGGTAAGCAACTCCAGTGTATATTTGGCCTTGTGTTTTAGGTTATTGTCCTGCTGAAAGGTGAATTTATCTCCAGGTGTCTGTTGGAAAGTAGACTGAACCAGGAGTTCCTCTAGGATTTTGCCTGTGCTTAGCTCTATTCCATTTATTTTTGTCCCAAAAAACTCCCTAGTCCTTGCCGATGAGAAGCATACCCACAACATGATGCAGCCAATACCATGCTTGAAAATATGAAGAGTGGTACTCAGTGTTGTGTTGTGTTAGATTTGCTCGAAACATAACTCTTTGTATTCAGGACATACATTTCATTTATTTGCCACATTGTTTTTGCAGTTTTACTTTAGTGCCTTATTCCAAACAGGATGCATGTTTTGTACAATTTTAATTCTGTACAGGCTTCCTTTTTTCACTCTGTCGTTTAGATTAGTATTGTAGAGTAACTACAATGTTGTTAATCCATCCTTAGTTTTCTCCTATCACAGCCATTAAACTGCAACTGTTTTAAATTCACCACTGGCCTCATAGTGAAATCCCTGAGCGGTTTCCTTCCTCTCCGGCAACTGAGCTAGGAAGGACACCTGTATCTTTGTAGTGAGTGGGTGTATTGATACACCATCCAAAGTGTAATTAATAACTTCACCATGCTCAAAGGGATATTCAATGTCATTTTTTCTTTTCTTTTTACCCATCTACCAATATGTGCCCTTCTTTGCGAGGCATTGGAAAACCTCCCTGGTCTTTGTAGTTGAATCGGTGTTTGAAATTCACTTCTCGACTGAGGGACCTTACAGATTATTATATGTGTGGGGTACAGAGATGAGGTAGTCATTCTAAATCAAGTTAAACACTATTATTGCACACAGAGTGAGTCCATACAACTTATTATGTGACTTGTTAAGCACATTTTTACTTGCCATAACAAAGGGGTTGAATACTTATTGACTCAAGACATTTCAGCTTAAAAAAATTTTTTTGGGGGGGGGAAACATAATTTTACATTAACATTGTGGGGTATTGTGTGTAGGCCAGAGACACAACATCTCAATTTAATCCATTTTTTATTCAGGCTGCAACACAACAAAATGTGGAAAACGTCAAGGGGTGTGAATACTTTCTGAAGGCGCTGTATGTAAAATGAATGTTTGAATGTATATTAGGCAGATATCTCTCAGGCTATCCAGAGGTCTGGCAGATCATACAAATCTACTCAAAAGGTGTCAACACATATTGCTGTGTCCCAAATAGCACCCTATTCCCTATACATTTGCACTACTTTTGACCATAGCCCTATGTGCACTATAAAGACAATAGGGTGCCATTTGGGATGCAACCACAGAGTAGTAAAGCACCAGTGGCTCTCAACTAATTAGAGATTCTAGTGACTTTTCTCTCATCAGTCAAACTGGAGAGTGACTAGAGACTAGAGTGATTAAATAATACATTCATGATCCACATAGAAATGGTTAACCAATTATTTTCTAAATCTCTGTCTCATTCTTATTATGCAATTTAATCTCATCCATTTGTTAAACAGAGACTAACAACGAGAATGAGAATGAGAGTAATACAATGAGTCTCTGTGAAGTCAAGAAAGTAACTAAACAACTGTGGGAGGGCGGATGGAGGAAGTGACGAAAGTCACATAATTCGCATGCGAACTATGGTGGGAAACTGTCCTGGTTTGAGAGGAAGTGGCTTTGAGGGCAACAGAAGAAGAAAAAGAGTGGCAGACAGGCAGGAAGTAGGCCAGCAGCACATAGTTCTGGGTTGAACAAACCTGCTGCCATGGCAATGGCCACAGAGAAACAGCAAGTGTTGTGACTGAACTGAGAGGGAGGATGTGTGGAAGAACGAATCCCCACCTCAGTCAAACACAGGAAGCTACAAGAGGTTGATATTATCATGATCTGAAGTCAGTTGTTTTTTCAAATATACTCACAAGACACAAACAAACTGAACCACTAAGCAACTGTACTATAGTAGATGAGCTAAAAAATACTTGACATTGGCTAATCGAAAACAAGAGAGAGCATTTAACTATTAACTAATTTATAACATAAAACTGCATAAATCACGTTTGAATGCTATATGACAAGTTCAGTTCAGTAAAACCATGGTATAGGTCACACCAATTGAAAACGGAATATTGTAATTTGAAGTGACACAAAGCTTGCCCATGCTGTAATGAGAGGAGAGCTTACCTTGAATACTGTGGAGGTAAACCTTAAGGCCAGAGCGGAGCTGCTGATCACCAACCCTCTCAAACTGCTTGAAAAGTTTGTTGATTGTGTTCTGAACGGATTCATGCCGTTTTACCTCTGCTCTTATGGCACTTGACTGAGACAATTTATTGCTGCTATTCATCTTGAAGTATGTAGATTGAAATGAACTGGGTAAAGAATCCAGTTGCTTCAGCCCATTTGAACTCCTCTATTTTTCATTCCACAAATGTTCATTCCGTTAAAATGCAAAATAAATATACTCCAAGAGAAAGTTACACTCAATAGTTTAGACCACAGGACACCAGAGCTCTCATTGCAACGTTTTTCAATTTCCTCTGACGGCTTTGAACTCACTTCCTTATTTCAAACCATATTTCTTACTGTGTGGTTGCTTGCTTTTTGTTAAAGCAGAGTCTGTTGTGCACTAAGGCTAGGCTACACATTGTAAAGGTCCCTATGGCTGATTTAAAAAATCACTCTATTTTCTCACCAATGTTTAGAATTTGACATGATTATACAATTTAATGTACAATATCTGCATAAACTGTTGGTGTTTATTGAGCTACATTTATTCACAACAGGACAGCATTGTTGGTTAAGGGCTTTTAAGTAAGCATTTCACGGAGAGGTCTACACCTGTTGTATTCGGCGCATGTGACAAATAACATTTGATTCGATTTGAAATAACATGAGAGCCTCTGTCTCTAGATGGTGAGGCTGGTATCTGAAATGGGGTGTCATGGCTCATAATGTTAATCACAGTGATGCATGGGTAGGTTAATGTTTACATAATAATCATCAGCCTTTGATTGCCTCCTCTCTCAATTAAATTCAATTCAATGGGCTTTATTGGCATGGGAAACATATTTACATTACCAAAGCAAGTTAAATAAATAATAAGCAAAAGTGAAATAAACAATCAGAAATGAACAGTAAACATTACACTCACAAAAATGTCAAATGTTATATTAAGGCTATGTTCAGTGTTGTACGAAAGGGGTCTCTCTCTCTCTCTCTCTCTCTCTCTCTCTCTCTCTCTCTCTCTCTCTCTCTCTCTCTCTCTCTCTCTCTCTCTCTCTCTCTCTCTCTCTCTCTCTCTCTCTCTCTCTCTCTCTCTCTCCTTGTGTGCAGGGGCATCTTAAACGGAAGCAAATAGAACGAAACGGGAAGGGACCTACAGTTGAAGTCGTAACTTTACATACACCTTAGCCAAATACGTTTAAACGAAATTTTTCATCATTCCTGACATTTAATCCTAGTACAAATTCCCTGTCTTAGGTCAGTTAGGATCACCACTTTATTTTAAGAATGTGAAATGTCAGAATAATAGTAGAGAGAATGATTTCTTTCAGCTTTTATTTCTTTCATCACATTCCCAGTGGGTCAGAAGTTTACATACACTCAATTAGTATTTGGTAGCATTGCCTTTAAAT